ATCGAAATACACGAAATACCCAGAAAAGCGTACTATCGTGTGACAAATCTATCCATTTCGTTAAAAACTTTAACACCGTTTGTTACGGCGTCAGTAAATGTGACAGAACGCTGATTAGGACCATACCCATCTCACACCTAAGCTCCACGTCAGCATAATTTGAGCCATGTCAGCAAAAAATAAAAAATAGAAATAAAAATAAAAAATTAAATTAATTCTCTCTGCCCCAATGATTTCTTCTCTCTCCCGTAGCTCCAGCCTCCATAGCTCGCCGAATACTCCTCCTAAACCTAATAATCAGATCCCCCATTACTCCTCTTAAACCTAATAGCTTATGAGATTTCCCGTCGCAAACCAAATCCTTCCCCCTGCTGCCCGTACCCAACCTCGAAGAGTAGCATTCAACATCAAACAAAAGGAGGAAAGGGGGAAATCGGGTTCTGGGGATTTGAGAAGAAGTTGGCTCTTCCCCTGCCAACTGCTACCACTGAGAAGAAGCTTATTAGGCAAAAGAGATCTGGATCCGCCTCCGATCTTCCTCCTCAGTGGAAGATCTGGATCCCCTGTTTTGGTCGACGAGATAAACAGAGGGTTTCTATCCACTCCGCCACTTCCTTGCCCCTTCAACTGCTGGATAAATCGAGAAGCCATGGGTTGAGAAGATGAAGAGAAGATTGACGTGGAATTGGAATTCCAAGGGTTCGTGGCCAACAGCTTGGCGGATCTGGATCTGCACCACCTCCTCGGCCAGAGCTTCGGGATCGACAAGGTGTTGTCGACAAGTTGGAAGAGTCGCAGTTGCAGGCGCAGCCGCTAGCCATGTTCGTCGGCAGGGATGGGAGAAAAGGACCCGAGTCGATGAAAATCAAAAAGTGGCCACCGAGTTTTGGAGAAATCGGAGAAGGGAAACCCTAGGCGGAGAAATCGAAGAGGTAGAGAAGAGCATTTTTATTTTTTTATTTAGGCGTTTTTTCTGGGTTTAAGTCCCGTATATTTCTCTTTCTGTTTTTGTTTTGTATTTTAATTTTTGTTATTTTTTTCTTTATAATACATGTCATTTGGTGGGGTAAATCAATCGCCAACTCAGCTTCTACCGTTAGTTTAGTTATGCCGTCAACTGACGCCGTTAACAAAATGGACAGAATTGGGTATTTCGTGTATTTCGATAGTTATGGATATATTTGTCACAAACGTGAAAGTTATGGATATACAAGTGTATTTTGCCTTTATTTTTGGGGATTGCTATTCGTCGCCCTAAAAAATGTTATTCGTCGCCCTAACTCTTAATAAATTTACCCTAATGTCCCTAGTTTATTTGTTGTTTTACAAACACAAACCTTATGACACAACCCACACCAAAACATCTTTTCCCGTCGCCGGAGTAAAAATAAACAGCCACAAAGCCAGAGATATTGAGGGGAAAATGAATAGCCATTCAGTTTTATAATCTAACTTTAAAATTTATTTGTTTTCACAATTAGTTCTCTCTCTAAAACCCAGAAAAATAAACAGTCAAATAGCCAGAGAGATTGAGGGAAAGATGAACTTCCAATCTCTCTTCTTCTTCCCATTTCTTCTTTCCCTTTCGATCACCTTCATGGCGGCGCAAATCTCGCCGGGATCCTCCCTCTCCGCCTTCGAGCTCAATGGGATGTGGGAATCACTCAAGTCGGACCCAACTCTTTTCTTGTCGGCGTCAACTACAACGTCGGAATCCCTATCTGCATAGCAAGCGGCGCCTCTGCTGTCGTCGACTCCGGCGGGGCCTTCCGCTTCACTCCCGCCGGGAGTCTCCTGCTAGTCAATGGTCTGACTCCACCATATGGGATTCCAACAAGGCTCGGCTTGGCTCAAGCTCGGCCTTCATCGACGATTCTGGCAATTTGGTGCTCCTTAACGGGTCTCGACCCGTCTGGTCACGCTTCACCAGCCTGATGGATTTATTCGCCGCCGGCGCAGAACTTCACCTCCGAACAAACCTTAGCCGGTTAATTATATGACGAATGGGGGTGGGGGATTGGGTTGAGATGCGACGGGTAGTTGGTTGAGGATTTAGATTAGAAATGGAGGTTAGGGATAAATGTGTCAATTTAGTGTAATTTAGGGCGATAAAATTTGAATCTTAGGGCGACGAATAGCAAATCAGTTATTTTTTGAAAAACAAAATTAAGTGGGAGATCTAGCTGTCGTCAGCCTGCGGACGTAGCAATGGGTGCCGTAACTCCCGTTGTCCACTGAAACATTTTACGGTATCATCGCTGGAATCCATCATTTCACAACACATATACACCATTTTCCTTCCCAGTATACATCAGTGAGTTTTGGAGGATGATTAGGGTTTGTTTGGTATCAAAACAATTTGGCTGATTCTTCTTTTATAAAACGAGACACTAAACTTAGTTAATTTGAATTACCTGTCTCTCTCAAACAATTAAAATTAACTCAAAATTGATCAATTCGAAATAACCTAGAATGAACTGATCCATCCAAAATTTATGCTGACAAACGAATTAATTTGGTCTCATTGTCACCCCGTTACATTCCTTTTCCAAATGAATTTTAAAGTATTTGTCCAATTTTATGTTTGTCTGGTTATCTGGTACAATATCTGCCTAATCCAACCGTGTGTGCAGTGGTCCATGAAACCGTACCGTACCGACGATTCAACCACAAAAAACAGCATTGGAAGCTAAACCGGTAGGTGGTATTTAACTATACTAACGATTGAACTACGGTTAAACCACAAATTTGTCATAAAATACTTTACCGCTGACTTTTTCGGTACGTTCTCCGGTACGGTTTCATGGACGGCAACATACAACACTACCATTGCAGTTTATGTCTTTCATGTAGTTAAGCATTTGAGTGTTCAATGATATGTCTGCTTGCATGTTAATTATTTCTTTTCCTAAGTAGGATTAGCACAAAATTGGCTGTAATTAATTGATCACTGGCATGCATGATGCACACATATGTGAATAGATAACAGAAGAAAGACAATTCTTTTAGGGATTAAAATGAAAGAAAGAGAGAGAGAGAAGATAATGATCAAGTGACAACGTTTGTCAAGAGTTGATAGGAAAGTGTTTACAAAAGAATGAACAAAGAAAGGGATAATCATTGAAGCTGTTTCCCCTCCTGGATTTAGGACTAGACATCTTGCCCAATTCCTCGTTTAGGTGTTCATCACTTTATGTGAAGGAAAATCCCCCATCCCAGACTTATTATGGACTCTTGGATTCAAAGGTTTTAATTAGACAAACCATAGGTGACACATTGGATCTAGTGTCGAGACTCAATGGAGATAAGATTTAAATTTATGGTAATGATTGGTATACTATACCTCATGTAATATGATCGTTGGATCTTATTTTTTGAACTCCTGATTTGAGTTTAAATTGAGTCTAGGGTTTATCCATAGAGATTATGGTATAGTATCACATTCCAAATTCTATTTAATTCATTATTTAGATAGAGATATTTCGCCAAAAGTACATGGAATATAGTATACTTCAGCATAACAACAGTCTAACCCATAAATTTATAATATCTGAATTGAAAATAACTTACTTTATCATTCCAACAGTTCTTTGTTGGCAACCAGTTTATAAGTTTTGTACAATTTGTTTGTTATAATTTATTTTGAGTATTATATGGTCAAAATATTATAGTTTTAGCAGTTAAAAGTCTTGGATTCATCTGAGAGATGTCACAGGCTCACAGGCCCAAATTCACTTTTTTTACATATTGTTTGGTATAAATGAATTACCTAAGTTTTGAGAAATTAATTTTGAAATGAAACTTTTTTGTGTTTGGATTATAAGGGAATTTATTTTCAATTCTAAATTTTGAATATTGCGGAATTGAGACTAGTTTTAGCAATTCCGAGGAATCGAGGTGAAATTTTCAAATGAATTTCACAATTATTTTATTAATTATGATAAAATGACACAATTGTCTTTGATTCTTAAGTTAAATTACCCCATATATATGATTTGGCGTCAATACTTCATATTTGCGCGCCTAACCTTCCTTGGTCAGCCACTACGTAACGTAATATATAATAATGATGAGAACATTCTCTTTGAAACTTATGTTTTTCGAAGATAGATTTTCAATGAGTGTAACAATGTTGTTTCTACTAGAAATCAATAAGAGTATATTTAAAATTATTAAATTTAATTCAGTTCCGAACATATCCCAAACACAATTTGGGAATTCAGTTCAGTTTACTCATAAGGATTTGAATATAACATTTCAAACAAAAGATTCATGTGAAAACAAATTCTACACATGAATTTATTTTAAATTGAAAAATAAATTCTCAATTTATTTAATACCAAATCATTTCACCTTGTCAATATTTGTCAAATGAGAATCCAAAAGGTGCACAAAGCTTGAATTAAGTATCCGTAAGTGAAAAGAAAAGAGAAAATAATTAGAAAATATTTTTAGAAGGAGGATAAAAGATTAAAAGTCCAACAAAAGAAAGGATAAAAGGCTTTGATTTTTAATCTTAGTGTTTATTTATTATCGAATTTTGTTCTTAATTTCTGTGTTGATTATAAATGCCATGTTCCATGTAAAGATACAAGTATGAACAAAAGATTAAAATAAGGCAAGAAATAAAAACTATCAAAATTCAAAAGCCTGTAAGCTTTTCGAATGACTGTACTGTTCCACCTCCAAAATCTGCACACCTAGCTGTTTCCCCAACCCCACTCTCCCAACCGCACCCGCTCCTTCTGTCCCTCCTCGAAATCGAAATATATAATAAAGTTTCCATTTTTATCAGCTCCCAGAGAGAAAGCTCCTCCCTTGCTCGCTCGCTCGCTGCCGCTGCTGCTGCTGAAGCATTTCCCAGCTTCCATATTTTAGTACGTGAAATGGGTGTTGCCTATCAGCCGTTAATTAACATATAGAAGAAATTAGATGGGTTCTATGCTATTCTATGCCTTTCTTTTTAGGTTGTTTTCCATGGAGTAGTGATGGAGCAATCTTTATTCTCTCTGGTTGTTCTGGTTTTCCCTTTGATGTGCTTTAGAGCTACCCACTGTCCCTATAACAGAATAGATGCTCTTCCTTGTCTTTGCATTGCTAGCTAAGAGTTAGCTTTGTTTGTTTTTTCTATGATTGTTCTTTTTCCCCTGCATTGATATTCTTTGATCTCCATTGATGATTCTTTGCTCGAAAGGGTAGCTGCTTTTTACTTTGGGGCTTCCATTTTCCCTAGTCACTTTCTGAAGTCTCTCGAGTTCCTTTCTTGGGTGCCCTTTCACTTTCTTAGAATTTTTTTATTGGTTTTCTCAAAGAGGTTTCAGACAGTGTGTAATTGGAAAGACGTGTGTGTAGATGTAGATTGATAGGATCTATTAACTTTCTTTATCGCCTCTCTTTCCCACGGTTATAAATAGTGGGTTTGCAATGTTGATTTTTCTCATTGCAGGAGTTCAGCAGCATAAGCAAACATTCACCAAAACTGTTGCTCATTCTAGTTAGAGTACAATGAACTACAATAACTCTGGCATTGGTTCTGGTCAGTTTCTGTTGCTGCCCCTATACTTGGTTTGGGCTTTTTGATCATTGCTATGTTGGAAACCCTACTCAACTGATGTCTTGTGTTTCAGGCAGTAGAACTTCTTCAAGAACATTTGAGTTTGGAAGGACCTATGTTGTTAGGCCCAAGGGAAAGCACCAGGCCACAATAGTTTGGCTGCATGGCTTGGGTGACAAGGGATCAAGGTAGCTACTTTATGTTACCTACATAATGCTGATGTTGGTTGTCTTTTCTTGTTTCTGTTTGAAAACCCTTGCTCTCATGGAGCTTGGTCTAGTAAGCTTTCGATAGAAAAGTTGTTCAGTTTCCTGGCATATAATCTGTCTGATCTTGCCTTATGGTGTTTGTTGTAAAGTATGGAACAATAATCATGAAAGGCAGAATTCTTCCATTTCCTTATGAGAATGGCAGAATTCTCTACCAGTCGTACCCAGGATGGCCATGTTTTGTCCTGAGCTAGTGGTGGAAGTTGATGTCTTATTAACTTGTCCTTTTCTGAAAGATTCTTCCCCATGATTGGCATATAGGCTAAAGTAAACACAATTGTCATGTTATTGTATTAAGCGTGGCTGGCTTGTTTTCTAATTCTAACTTCTTCTAAATGGTACGTAACCTTCTCTTCACGAATCCATGTTTAGATATGCCAACACGGGACCACTCCTTCACTAACTTGATGCTACTTACAGAAGTAACAAACATATTGTTTTCTCAGTTGTAATCATAGTGATCAAGTATTTTAAGTGTGTATCTAGGGTATATATCTAGGAGAGTGAAGACAAAAAAGATGTTCTACACCCCTACTGGTAGGGCTTGGACCTCAGGTTTCAGAGTGGTCCCCCATGAGTGGGAATTTACTTCTTAAGTTATAATCAAATCGTCTTCAAACTGTCCTAATGATGCCTGACTCTCTAGGCCCTGACTAACCTGATCTCACGTTTTCTTCTGCTTTGTTTTGCAGTTGGGCGCAACTCCTGGAGACCCTTCCTCTTACAAATGTATGAGTACTGTTCTTATATTTTGTTATATTGCTAATTTGATGTCTTTAATTTGGGTCAATGGGTGCCCTTATAGTGGGAAAGCCGCTGTTACTCAACATTTACCTTTGTCATTGACATGGCAGATTAAATGGATTTGCCCGACTGCTCCGTCCAGGCCAGTTGCTTTGTTCGGTGGATTTCCATGCACTGCTTGTAAGAATTGGATTCACAGTTCCATTTTCTGTTATGTATAAGAACTAGTATCAACTTATGGATTGTCAAGAAGAGAGCCTAATTTCAAGCTAAAACAAAGAAGGAAACGCAACTCCATGTTCCAGAATTAAATAGCTAGCTTGTTTATTTGACTATTTGTTGTCATGTTTCTTTCCTAGTTGTAGGGTGAGTTGTTATCTCTGCTGGTAAGTGTAGGCTATCAAACTTGTATAGAAAATGTTGATAGTGAAGCACTGTAACCATGCTCTCAAGTTGAGCCTTTTGATGAAATACAAGATTGCTTTTCATCAAAATAGAAACCCAACTCCATGTTTTTCTTTTCTTTGTATGACTTTTAACTATTGGCTCAATAGTAGATAAAATCTCAATGACTTGCTGAACATATTGCAGGGTTTGATGTTGGAGAAATCTCTGAAGAAGGTCCTGATGACCTGGAGGGACTGGATGCTTCAGCAGCACATGTAGCCAACCTTTTATCTACAGAGCCTGCTGATAGTAAGCGGCTTATCAATTTCCTAATATTGCTGTCAACATTTTGTATATTTTCTTATTCAAATATTGATGTCATCTGTATGTGTATATAACAATTTTGTTCCCTGGTGAACATGACATTTCTTTCCATTATAGCATATTAAATGAGAATTCATCAACATGATACTGGTAGATGCATTTGCTGCTCTTCCTATTCATTTTCTTCTGCGGGAGATTGCAGAAATTTCCTAATTTACTTTTAGTCTAACACATCCCCTTAGTTAGTGACTTCCTATGAGTTTGGTTTGTCTCATCGATCATTATTCTAGCTTAACCAAAACTTCGGATACTTTGTTTCAGAATTATTTGCTGTTAGATTTTCTGGAGGCTACCTACTTTCAATTGATGTCACATCTTCCATTTGAAATTGAGCATTAAATCTTGATATTGATTGGATCAATACCGTTACTGATTATCTCTAGTTAAAGATATAGCAGTTTCTATAAATGTTGCATGGCAACTGAACTTCTTCACTTGGTTGCTGGATTTTGTAGTCCAAGTTGGTGTTGGTGGCTTCAGCATGGGTGCTGCAACTGCCCTTTACTCTGCTACTTGCCGCACATTAGGACAGTACGGGAACGGGAACCCATACCAGGTCAATCTAAGTGCAGTAGTTGGTCTAAGTGGCTGGCTTCCTTGTTCGAGGTTTGGCTTCTGGAATTTCTAATGCAAACAACCTTAAGAGTGCCCTTCAGTGTATCCATCTTTGGCATGCGAACATAGAGAAAATTTATTCAGACAAACAGTCATTCTTTTTCAGGACCTTGAGAAGTAGGATGGAAAGATCATATGATGCAGTGAGGCGGGCTGCATCTTTGCCCATTTTGCTTTGCCATGGCTCAGGTATGTCATTTTATCTATCAGCTTTAATCTTGCTTGGATGTTTATCACTCTTCTGCGGACAACGAATCTACCAAATTCAACTTAGTATCTGTTTCTTGGTGTACCTAGACCAAAAGGCATTATCTGAATGAGAACATTTACATTCCTTCACTTCCACATACTAATTACTCATTGCTTTGCTCGCCTCAGCCGATGATGTGGTTGCACACAACCACGGAGAGAAATCAGCACAGGCCTTAAACTCAGTCGGGTTCCGGAATCTCGTGTTCAGAACATACAATGGGTAACCAATATCCTCCCATCTCCCTAAATATTTCTCATGCCATATATCATGCACAAGCAATCTTATAAAACCGGGGAAAAACATTTGAACAGAATGGGTCACTATACCATCCCGGAAGAGACGAGGGAAGTCTGCACTTGGCTCACCACAAAATTGGGGCTGGAGGGTTCTTAAGAACAGTAATGCTACTGAGGATGGTGATAATCTTTGCTGGGAGAGAAGTATATGGGGGAACCTAGAGAGAGAGAGAGAGGGGGTTAGGAAAAAGAAGGGGTTTTTCTAGGACTAGATGGTTTGGTGTGGAGGGATAGGAGTATCAAGGTATAGCTTATGATAAATGGGGGGTTCAATTGGTTGATTCATGTGAGTTCTCCAAAATAAAAATGTGTTCTTGTTTTGCTTTTCTTCACTGCTTTATATTTTGGGGTTTAACCTTTTGTATTTTCCATAACTATTTTGTGGGTTTTGAGTTTTGAGGGTAATGGGTTTTACTGCTGGTGTTCTAAATGGGGATCATAAGGATAGGTTACTTGAGGTGGGGGATACTTTGAAGTTTTGGGAGGGGGGTTTACTGGTTAGAGAGAGGGAAGTGTTAAATGATCTAGTTGATGATGTATCTTTCATTTTTGTTGTTGTATCTCCATAAACTATGTAACTTCCAGACCATATAAAATAAATGCAATCTCTCAGTGTGGTACCTCAATGTGTGTTGATGAATCTTGGTAAGTATGAATTATCCGAGCATCATGTGGATTGTTAGACCCTAACCGCTCCAATATAGCTTGTGCATCTCCAGTAATTTGAACAGGATGAGCACACCATCCCCAACGGGAAAGGAGGAGTAAAGCATAACGGACCGCCAATAATTCCACAGTAGTAGCATCAATTATCCCTAGGAGAGCGCACCCAAATCCAAAAGCAGCCTGATCGCCAACAAAGCCAACAATACCAACTGCCCCATGAGTGGGAGATGATGTCGTGCCGTCCACAGCAATCCGAAATCCGGAACTCAATTGGGGATCACGGAGTCGTCGAGGTGGTGGTGCCTGGGCCAGAATTAGAGGTTGGACGGCAATTTGATGATCGGCCTGGTGTGACAGTAATTGACGATGAAGGTAGGCGATAGTAAACTGGGCGTGGGGGAGGAAGACAACATTGTTGCGACTTTTCCAATATCGCCAAAATAAGAGTACCCAAGAAGTAATAGAGTGGATATCCGCGGTGAATATGAGATGCCGCCAAAACAACAAGAGGTGGGTGGTGGGAAGAAGACCAGGAGGCAAATGGAGCCCTACCAAATTACGCAAAGCAACTGCCACCAGACATCGAAGAAATAAATGCTCGACTGATTCACCTTCTGTGGACTCACAAATTGGGCACAAGTCACCAACTTGCAGAACATGGCGATTTAGGTCTTTCTGGTCAGGCAGAATCCGCAAAATAATACGCCACAGAAAAAATTTGAGCTTAGGGGAAAGTGGCAGTCCCCATAATTTCGGCCACAGTTTTGTATCCACCGGAGAGGCCGATGAGACTTTTGCTGTTTTTGGAGGCGGTTTTGCGGCCATTGCCAGTTGGGAAGCAGATTTGACGGAGAACAGGCCATCGGATTGATAATGCCAAATGTATAGGTCCAAACCGAGGTCGGCGGAAGCGGAATGTTTAAGATTGCGGAAATCAAGTCATTCGTAAAGAATTGGCCCAAACGTGGAATATTCCAGGTCCTCGAAAGAGGAGACATAAAATAAGAGACAAACCGAGAGGAATCGGATGGCGATGATATCAAACATGGTTTGAATAACGACAAAGAGGGAACCCACGGATCTGTCATCGCATCAATGAAGGTGCCAGAACTAACTTCCCACTGCAAGCCTTTTACAAGCAAATTTTATGGTCGACTGTTTGATCTCGTAGAAGTCTTTCTATTTTTTTTGGAGTTCACTTTGTTTCTGAGTATAATCCTGAAGTTTGGTATTAGATGATGTATGACATTTTTGCGACTTCTATACTCCATCGTATTACTACCATGAGGTAGTGGTGCTCGCACCCGATATATATATATAAGAAAAAAGTCAGCTACTTAGGGCATTGGGTTCCGTCTGTCTAGCAGTCAGCATAATGGGCTTCAATTTGTCCAAGCCAAGTCAAGACTTCTGCTAAATTAGGCCCAAACCAGAAATTTATGGGCCTTAGCCTACCGATGCAGCCCACCACAGATAATGCTATCGAATGTTGTTACCGAATTTCAATTTCTTGCTGAAGGATTCATCAACTAATACATAAAAACACTAAACGAAGAACTTCATAATAACACTGCTTACATATAATAACATCGGAACAATACTAATAAGCTATAAGCACATAAAGGTGGCTGGTTGCCGCCGGCGATTGTAGATGTTAGATCTAGCAGCAGACCTCAGATGTCGTTCCTTCCAACCATCAGACCTAAGATGGTACTCACATTAGACACATTCCTTGTTCTGGCGTATAAACAGACCAGTTTCGCCGTGCCGCAAGGTTTCGAACCACGATGCAATGCTCAAGTGATATGGACTCTTGTCACGCCGCATTCAATGTACTATTTACCTTGCTGTTGGCTGTTACTCTTCCTTGTTGGTGGTAACTTGGTTGCCTTGGAGTCCAAGCAAGGTGTGAGTGGTGGGAAAGAAGGGACTGCCTTCAGTATGAACTTCCTCCCACTTTTCAACCCTCCCGACACTATCGACCCGAGCTCCAGACGTTTGGAATGTGCATGAGGTGGAGAAATCCGCTTCTTGTTTGGAGACGTTGCTTTCACTGATTGAATTGGGTTACAGGCTTCCTTCAATATCTCAGGTGTGGTGTCTTCTTCTTCCATGAGCACATCATCAATCATCTTTCCAGCGCCTAAGGATGGCATTGGAGTGACCGGCAAGCCATGCCAACGGATGGAAGAGGACATATGGGTACCACCACTACCAACTTCAAACTGTGGACGTGGAACATTAGTTGACAGGTCCTTGGTCTTAGATGCAGATGGAGAAGCTGCCACGGCTGAGGATGATGCAGTTCGTTGTGGAGAGAGGTAACATATACCACTGATTGGATCCAACTTTGGAGATAATTCGCCTATCATTTCGGCAATGGTAAACTCCATATCCCGGCAGTCAATCTCTGCAAGTAAGCTGTCACCAGTTTGGGTTGGGGAACTGGTTTTTGAATCTGATTGAATTGTAGACATGTGGGAGAGAGGCGATGGGAGGTATCGGGTACTAAATGGCCCGGACTTTGGGGCATCGTTTCCATGCCTAGAGAGGTAAAAGTATACACAATGAGCAAATCATGTAAATTCCAGGTGAAACTAATTCATTCTAAGAAAATTAGGTGAGATAAAGAGTACTTACTCAGAGAACTGGCACTGTGGTGTAAATGGTGCAGGGCTTTCTAACTCGGACGAATCTGCATGAAAGAGATCATTACTATGATCCACCCCTGCTAATTTCTCATCAGCTATGTCGTTTGGCCCATCCTTGCTGGTTGTGCTGCTCATAATCTCTTCAACTATAGTGTAATCTGGGGAAGAGAGCCAAAACAATAAATGGAATGTTCACTTTTCAGATGTATTTCCGATCCAACCAAGGACATTTTATGGGAATTAGTTGGAGTTCTAATATATTAACTACTCGAAAGCGCTAAACTTAGGATGAATAAGGTAAGGATGCCGGAAAACACCATCTGAATTGGGGTTTACCAGAATGAGAAACATTAGTAAAGAGAGATGAGAACTTTAATGTGATCTTACCTTCTCTCCTACCAAAGACATTCTTGCAACCTTCACATCGGCAACCACTGGAGCAGCCAACATTTGACTTTTGAACATAAAGCATAAACAGAAGTCCCAGATCAGTAAACCTGTAGCAAGAAGATGTTGCGCCTAGAAATGGTGGGTTGAGTCAGGAGGCACGGTTGAAGGTTGTATACCTGATAGCATTCACAATACTTTTTCAGACACATTGACCTTTTGCAATTGCACCCTCTTTTATGCCTTGCAGACGCTGGTGTTGTCCTGTTTACCTCTTCCTGAAAAATGTGAATTATGATCATGAAATCTCTCAAGTGAATTAAAATATGAACAGACTTAATCTGCATTTCATTACCCCGATTACTGCAGGAACTCCTGATGCCTGATGCACAATCTTTGGAGCAAAAGCGAGAGGGTTACGGGATTCTATCAGTTGGCGTGTTTCAAGAACTTTATCTTCGTGTTCAGGCCTATTGAAGCATCCTTGGCAACTGCAAGAATCCGCACAATAGATCCCAGCGGCAAAACAATCACAATACCTGGCCAGAAAAAAGGAGAGAAAAAAGACAGCTTCAAGTAGTGTGGTGAAAATATGCACAAGTGGCTAACACCAAGAGAAGATTTGATCACACTCACAATTTCAAGCATTTAGTCTTTTTACAATTGCAACGTTTGCAACCATCGCCATCAGGGGTAAACTTCTTCCTAAAATGTTCACACAGTTTCAAGCATTTAGTCTTTGCCAGTGTATAACAGGTAAAACAAGCAAAATGTCTGTAATATAACACATACCTTCTCTTCTTAGGGCTTGATTGGTTTAACTCGTTATAATTTTCACATTGCTCTAAGCTCAATGTCCTCTTTTTTGGCGGGGTTTCATTGGGCTCTAATGACTGCAATGCACTCACTGATTTCATGGTGAGCAAAGAATCTGAGGTGGCACTAACAACAGCAGGCACAACCTGGTTTTCAAGCATTTTTTCTTCCGCATGAGTAATTTTCTCAACTGAATTTGATAGTTGTGTAGAACATTTCTCATTCTCCGATAAATGAGTTTTCATGCTTTCGTTAACATTACACTCCATTGGTAAGGCCTTAACAATGCTATTCAGATGTAATCCAATACCAGATCGCTTGGGAATAGACAATCTAGCATTTGAATTGTGGTTAGGAGAACGGTTGGAGATTAACCCCCGGGTCAAGTTGATCATTGTCCTCTTTCCAGAAGGAGCAGCAATGCCTGGATTCAGAATTTTTGAATTTTCCATACCCGCACTGGAAAAGGGTAATCTTAAGCCCATCGGATCGCTGGATGAATTCGGAGAATTCATGGCTGGCACACTACCTTGTCCAATCCCTTGAGCTTCTTCAAATTGCAGACAGCGCCTACTCATGCCACGATACAATTGACTGACCTGCAATAATAATAGGATTATTTTACTGTTATAAGCCAAAGGAAAACAAGGATAGGCAATATTTTTCCTCAGAAGTGAATGTTTACAATCAACAAAAGAGCATACGGGTACTATTGATTTGATAGGGACCCAAGTCCATCATGCTCGTAACACTTAAACGTCCAGAAGGAAAGCACATTAATTAAGAGAAAAACAAGCAGCAATGCCTGAAGGAATATTGAGATGATATGTTTTGGCAATATCTCATAAACTATTTATCAATAAAATGCCCATTCTTGTCCCAAAAAGCCCAAGTTAAGAACAAAGACAGATAACAGTTCTGAGTCACTAAGTTGGGACTTTTGAGGCACATACTTACCATGGCCGGAGACAAGAACAAAGACAATAACATAAGGCCACAGGACATGGCAGGAAGTAACAAACTAATGATGACAAAGTTACAGATAACAAAAAGACTGAGAGCAACAGGGAGTGAGAGATGATTTTGATAAGTTACCCCAGGATCATCCAAGCCTGCTTCCACATGATCATAATAGTCTTCATTTGCATGCAGATTCTGTAATGTCCAGTGAAAGAGTGAGGACCAAGTCCTGAGCTTAAGAAAAAAACTAGCATACCATGCATTTCATGAAGAATTCAGGTTTTCAATGTTTCAAAATTTTAATGGATGTTACCTGAACAGATAAAGTTTCATATAGTAGTCCATCAGATGACAGCACACAGTTACTGCTGCCCTGTCCAGAGGTTGGAAGTGCAAACGTTGGAGCTTCCTTATCTGTATCAGCATTCAGCACAATAGTTTGTAAGTTTGCTAATCCGCGAGGACCAATAGATGGCTCTGTCTCTGTTATTGGGTTTGCTGAATGTACACAGTCTGTGCACTCTGTATCTACTGGTTCTGATAAGTACTCATCAACAACCCCTGAGGGACTGCAATGCTGTTCCTTTGTGTAGCTACTATGATCACCGTCTTTCTCGCTGTCCACATTGAACTTGCTACTCAAATAGGAATCACATTTTTCCAAACCAGGAGGAACATCAACAGAACTTATCCCAACATTGTCTTTAGGTGTTTCTGGACCAGATTTCTGGGGGCATTGAGGCCTGATATAGAACAATACATTTCTTGTAAGAATGCATAGGCATAAACCATTCCACACATATGAAAGAACTAAATCCAGGGAGGGAAGATCTTATCAAAACCTTTGCAGCGAGCTTGCTTCACATTTTGATACTATATGTGGCGAAGTGAACACGAGGGGAGGAGAACTGAGATCTGCATATCCTGGTAATATACGCGAATTCTTCACAGGCTTTATAGGAGATAGGTTGCTCAAGTAGTTAGAGAAAGGAGACTCCTGAAATGGAATGGTACATGGATGATAAGCACATTGATTGAGATCTCATAATTAGATTCAAACAGAAAGGTTCCACCGTGTCAAACAATCCTTTCTTTCTCTTTTCTTCTTTTTTTGGACAAAGACGCAGACCATAGTTTCTACAAGTCGTGTTACTGCAGTTGAGAAATGATGTAACTGAATTACAACGCTCAGTCAAACAACCATACATCAACACATTAAAGCAACGACATCAGTCTTTCTTCTATAACCCAAATGCATGGTGTCACATACCCAATAACCTAAACTATGCACTCCAACAACCTTTCAGTAACCATGAACAAGTCAAACCCACAACAGATTAAGCGATGACTTCAATTCTGATCACTAACTGCGCCACAAGCAAGGGGGCTGCCAATGAAAGCAAATGGGATTCCAACTATATACCCAAAATCCTAAATTTTACAATCCCGCATCCACTTCCACAACCCATTTCTCACAATCAGAACTTTTTCGCAAGGACCATCTGGAGACGCCCAAGTGGAAGGATTTGTCGACGACGCACACAATACAGACAAAAGCAAGTCAACAAAAGGAGAATTGTGGAATCCACAACAAACAAAAGGTAGCCCGAACAAATCAATTGGCCAACAATAAGAAGCAGAAGGCATAAGTGAAAATTGGGGGATAATTACTTGAACAATCGGGGAACCGATCGAACTGGCGGCGGCGGCAGTTTCTGTTGCGGCGGAGGGTGTGCTGGCGGTCTTAGTTACTTCGGGAGAATCCATGAAGTGAAAATGTGGTGGTATCAGTAACCCTAGAAATGGTTTTCTGCATCTTCCGTTCTCTCTCTCCCTCTTTTCTCCGTTGCCGAAACTGATTACCGAGAGAGGATTAAAAATGGAATTTTAAGTGCGCAAAAAGATTAAAAGTTTTTTTTTTAGTTTTACCCTCTCTTCCTGCCTGACCTGTTTTTCTCTTTTCATTTATTCACTATAGTCTGTCTATAGGTGTGTGAATAAAAGAGAGAGACGGGAGGGGAGGGGACAAAGCCGTAGGAAGGGCGGGATTTCAAAATCCAAGCGGGAACGTAATTTCACTCTTCTTTGGGCCGCTGGGCTCCGTGGGGAGTGGGCTCCTTACGAAGGCCCAACAAACGGTTTCTTATACATTTAGGCCGACGAAATACACGCCGCCGGTAGATTGCCATTCTCGCTGGAAGGCAACAAAACCCGAACCCACGGGTACTCACCCGAACCAACTCGGTCAATACGGGTAAAATTCGTGTTGACGGGTTTTGGGCCGGGTTTGGATTTAAACCCGTTCACTATTCACTGGGTTGGGTTAGGTTTGAGTTTAGGTAAACCCGACTCATGGGTACCCGCCCACAGTCATATAATTAATTTTCTCGGCATATTTAAGATTCTAAACAACTAATCTTATTTACGTTTGTGGAGACATGCCTAATTTTTTATTTCTAGCTATGTAGTATGAAGTTGATGTTATCGAGTGGAGAGTGAAAAACTTAATTGAAAGGAAGAAGCTTTCAATTAATAATGTTATTTATGGATAATTTATGATTTGCTTCAATTTTCTTGAGTTTTCTAGATTGGTGTTGAACAATTTGTATAGTTAATTTGTGATTTGCTTGAATTTTCTAGAATGGTGTTTTATATATGGATAATTTGTATTGGGAGATTGATATTTGACTTTAATTTTGATAGGAATTTGTTAGTAAATTTTTTACGACAAAAACCTGTGGGCACCCATGAGCCCGCGGATACCCAGCGAGTTGGGTTGGGTTTGAGTTTTTCAAACCCAGTGGGTTTTACCCTGGATTTTTTTCACGCACAAAACCCATGAATTTGGGTTTGGGTTTGGCAAAACCCGACCCATTACCATCCCTACTTCAGTGCGATGATACCAGCATTTCTCGATTTACACCCAAAAAAATAGTTACAAAACAGAAACCCAGCATTTCTTGATCAAGCAGTTCCCCCATTCTGCAGTTAAATTACTTGCGCTAGAAGAACACATCAAGATACGAGACTTAAATCGACGAGATATCAGACCCCTTTTTTGATGTAGTTCCTGAAAGGTAAATGATTCAAAAGATCAATACCGACACCAAGGGATAGAAAGGATTAGGTGAGAACTGAGAAGAGAAAAAGTAAGGGTAAGATAGAGAATCCTTGGCCCTATTTATGCACGACCACTTTCTGCGTGGTCACTACTCACTACCTTAAGCTTTTGTGCATAGTGCCTTGATACTCAAGACACCTGCATGTAACTCCTCAACGATTCACTCCTCGAGGCCCGATGACTGGAGGCAACTGTGTGCATCCCTCGATATCTAATGTCTCGAGATTGTTGATCAGACGAGAGAGACCCGACAACTCTTTAATCGACGGACAATTATGCAACCATAGCTCTTCCAACGACTCCAAACCCTCTAGCCCCGTGATCTCACTCAGCTGGGTGCATCTCTCAATGTGCAACCCCTTCAACTTTTTCAAACTAGATAGCGGCGACAACTTGGTAATCGATGTGCAACCAGTAATAGAGAGCCCTTGCAACGATACCAGTCCTTCAAGTCCTGTAACCTCGGTCAACTGCGGGCATCTCAATATCTGCAAGTCCTTCAAGTTTCTGAGACCGGAGAGATCGCCTAACTTCGTGATCGATCTGCAGTCATCAATCGATAGCTCTGCCAATGATGCTAGCCCGTCTAGTCCACTGAGTTCAATCAGCTGCTCGCATCCGGAAATGGATAACACGTTCAAGTTGTGGAGGTGAGATAGATCTGGTAGTTGTTTCAGTGACTTGCAGTTCCAAAGTTCCAGCTTCTGTAAGGAGATCAACTGCCCAAGACCCTCAGTACGAGAAAGCTTGTCGTTGTAGTTGAAAAATATGGTCTTCAACTTCTTCAACTTCGACAGTGGAGGCAATGTATGAATTGACTCACAGCCTACCAGTACAAGACGTTGTAGTGCCACGGTAGACTGGAGACCCTCAAGATTGGCCAAGTTGCAACCATGTATTTCGAGATGCAATAGGCATTGCCCCAGTTGATCCAGTCCCTGGATCTCCGTGAGCAGCTCGCATTCTAGAACCTCCAGACTGCACAAATTTGTCAGTGTGGCTAAACTGGGCAGTCTTGTTATTGCACAACAGTCACGCACTGTGAGTGCTGTGAGAAGCACAAGGTTCTCGAGGCCATCGAGGGTGGTGAGGTTTGGTGCGAACGATATTTCGAGAGTTGTCAACAATGTTAGCTCACCTAGACCGTGAATCTCACCAACCTTGACGCTTGACAATCGCAGTTCTGTCAACCTATTCAAATTTGCTAGATTTGGGAGTCTGGCCACTGGATCGCACTGTTGGACACGAAGGCAGTTGAGAGATGAAGGAAGAGAACCCTCTTCCACAAGTAGACTCTCACAGGGGCACTTTGTGAGGATCAAAGTCTTCAACTTGCACAGCTTCCATATATCCCCGGGAATTCCGAGCTCGACTTCACAATGTTCAAATTGCAGTTCCTCCAAATTCTTGAGGTCCGAAAGATTAGGAACTGGAGATGAGATGATTAGTCGGTTTAAGCTTGTGGGAAGCTCCGGCAGTGGCTGAGGCGCTCGACCACAGCTGAAGAATTCAATCACTTTCATACTTTTAAGCATCTCAAATTGGCCAGTTAACTTTATTATTCCACACCCGATGATCTTAAGCTCCTTCAGACACTTGAAACTGCCCACCTTCACTTCCCCACGCATTTCCTGACATCCTCGAAGTTCCAACGCCTCTAGATTTCCACATGCAGACAGGTCCGGAGCTCTTCTTAGTCCATGGCACCAGCATAGTATTACTATCTTCAGCTTCTGTGCAAGGGACACAAAACACATACAAGTGTAAGTGAATGGTATAGCTGTATACAATTCATTTTGGAGTTCTAAGAACAGCTCTGTGTTATTGGGATGAACTAACTCTTTAGATAATATCCAGAACATTGTGATGATTATAAGAAGGATCTGTGCAATCTTTCAGTTCAGCTATTGGCATGAAGAGTCATGTAAAACATGATGACTCTGAGTTACAAGATAGTTGAAAGTTATAATGGCATGTTGAAGACAGGAAAAGAAAAGGGAAGAATGAAACTTCATACCTTCATTTCTGCCCATCCTGCCCAGTCATCTGAGATACCAACATTGTCCAGCTCAATAGTTACCAACTTGTTCATCCCAAAACTAGTAGGTATTAAATCGCACCAAGAGAGTCGAAGCCAACGCACGTTGGGAAGAATCCCTTTGAAGTTCCCTGTCAAGTTTGCATGACCTGCTTCAAGGAATCTTAGCCTCGAGAGCTTCCTGAATTCTTCCTCTCCCATAATATCACAGCTTTGTGTGCGAAACTTTAGAGCTATAACATTATTTGTTCCCTGTAAAGTAAATTACTAGACACTTTCTATTAAGTGGAAAAGGACTCAGTAGTGTTATGTTAAGTAGACAGAAGGATATTATGTACCTCTTTGTTGCTTAACATGTCCAGAGCACAGTCGTTGGACCATATTCTGCTCCGCTTGTCTGGATATTCAATGTTTTCCTGTCGAACAATAGCTCTGCCTAAGTCTCTGATATGATCATGCATCCAAAATTCGTGTTCATTGTTAAATTTGATCAGGGACCTAAGAACAAGAGTCTCAATCCCACTTTCTGGATAGAACCTGCAGTCACTCCACATATAGATTGGCAAAACTTTGTCCTCTCCAATAAAGAAACAAGCAATATCAAGAAAGATTTGTTGTTCCTCATAAGTCAATGCATCATAACTTATCTTTAGCCTTTCTTGAATCTTACTAGGAGGGACTTCTTCTAATTGCAGCAACTTTTCTTCCCAAACCTTTTGACCCTTGCGAAACAAAAGTGCCCCTATGACCTTAAGCGCCAACGGCAGACCTCCTGCAGCTTGTACAAATTTGTCTGACAGAGCTGCATAATCTTCTGCTGGGTAGTCCATCCCAAAGGCATGCTTGCTAAATAGTTGAAGCGAATAGTCAGGACTCATCTCTCCGAGTTCATACAACTTGTACTCTTGATGCAAGTTCAAAACTATGTCTCTAGTTGTGATCAAAATTCTACATCCTGCTGAAAAATCTTCTAGTTTTCCTAATGTTTTGACAAACTCAAACATTTCATCGACATCGTCAAGAACGAGAAACACTTTGTGTCTGCAGACCCTATCTTTTATCACATGAATACCCTCATCAGCATCTTCAACTAGATCATCATTATGTCCCAGTATGCTGGAGATAACCTTGTTCTGCAAACTTACTAGGCCCTTACCATTCTTGGTCAATGCTTCTCGAACGTCCTCCAGAAAGCAGCAGCGATCAAAATGAGGATAAATCTCATCATAAACAGCCTTGGCAAGAGTGGTTTTACCAACGCCGCCTATACCATGAATGCTAACAATTTTCACGCCTTGAGAGCTATCCAGGTTCAGTAATCTCACTACCTGTTCAACATGAAAATCAATCCCAACCAAGTCTTGATTAGCCCCCAGCTTATAACTCCTCATCAGATATGAGTCAACCCGGGAGAAAACCGCGTCTATTATAGCTCCTTGCCTGCAAGCCGGAATGAACAGTAAGCAAGAGTCATCGTGAAACAAGCAATGAAATTAAATGCATAGAAAGTATGTAACAAACAAAACTTTCACATATGTGGTTACCACCCTCACCCATCAGATTTGTGGACAGTCCATCCTTTCATTTTCCCGACCTCTTGCAGGGCTTCCCTCCATTCCATTACAGTAGCTGCATCATGTTTTTGATCATGCAGCTCAAATGCCTCCTTAAAAGGACCATCTTGATGCCTCACATCTCTAGGGTTCACAAAATAGAAAATGGGGAGTATGAGGTGTCCTTTCCCCTGCTTCCAGCACTCCACCATCTTAGCAAGCTCTTGAAGGCACCACTTGCTGGAAGCATAGTTCTGGGAAAAAATTGGGATGTGAATCTTTGATTGGATAATAGCTTGGACAAGGGAGGGGGCAATCTGTTCCCCTTTACGAAGCTCTTCCTCGTCTCTAAAGGTTCTAATCTTGGAACGAGCCAAAACACTGTAGAGACAATCAGCAAAAGTTGTGCGGACATCTGGACCTCTGAAGCTAAGGAAAACCTCGTACTCTCCAGTCGGAAGAGGGGGCTCATATCTGGAAGAAGAAGCAGAAGAAGAAGACTTGACAAAGAAGGTTTCTGATATGTTCATTTGGAGAGACAACCCTGGGAGCTAGCAATACAACCAATTCAAGGAACCAATAGACAGGAAAGCAAGGAGACAGACAATGTTATCAAATGACGATCATGAATGCTTAGCTATGAAATTTCAGGCCGGGGAAAGATCTTAACTACTCTCCAAAGGGACACCAGATACTCCACTAGTTTCCTAATGTCTGTGTGTGTTACTCTTTGGAATGCGGAAATTGATTATATTTTACCCTGAAAGTACTACCTATGTTATCGTTAACCACAGCACGTGATTTGAGACAGGTTTTTCTACTGGGTTGCGCAAAATTTGCCTCCCATCCCATGTGCCAGATGGTTTTGTAACACAACAATGGAGGGGTGTATATGACAAAAAATCGTACTTTTCTCCGGAGGAGGTCCAGATTCATAATATAACATCAACATTTGTAGCTCTTCGCAAGCAATTTTATATTATGTAGCCCTTATTTCGAAATGGGATAGAGCCAAATTCGTATTAAGACAATCCACTACCGTAAGTAAGGTGCCAAAATACCAAATTTGACACACCATACTTGCTAATGTGGAACTCAAAGCCTTTATTAGTTCTAGGGTTGGAGCAACCAAAGTTGTCAAAACTCAAAGGTTCCAACATATGGTGTTTTCTTTTTCATATCTCTACACAATATTCAACCCAAATTGGTCCTATTCCCGGTTCAAATCGCAAGGCAGCCACATAAAATGTAATTCGCAGTTTCTGCATTTGAGATTGGGATTGACTCGGCGTACCTGTGTGTTTTGAATGGATGGTGCTGATACGAAAGCTTCCCGGAGGATACTGCAACTGCAAGTCTGCAACATATCTTGTATTATCCTTGGAGAGAAAGAACGATAACCACCACTTCAACAAATCTGGAACATATGGTGAAATTCTCCGGCGTGCGAAATTTGCCGCCAGCTGAGCTTCTGATTGATAGCATCTTGGGCAAGGAAGAACTTCGATAGGGAAGTGATGGACTGGTGTGTGCGCGCGCGCAATTGATGTGGAGGGGTTTGAGATGTGCCGTCTCCGGCCGGGATCGCGGTGTGTAAGGAATTGGTTGATACAGAAGCTATGGCGACCGGTGATTCTGGGTTTGGAAAAAAAAACTAATAACTCCAGTCTCCATTGAAGTCCCCTGCAAGTGGAAGTGGAGAAAGTGATAACCAGTTCTTGATTCAGAAATTGCAGATGGTGGAACCGAATTGGACGGAATGGTTGTGGCGTGGCCGTGAGTCAGAAAGGTTAGAGTTAAATTGGCTTCCATTAATGGGCCGTTTCGGGTATTCAGAGTCCAAACAGATGGGTTTACTCCTCATGGCATTTAACAAATGGGCCAGTGTATTGTTTGTAAGCCCACTAGTTGGGCTGATTCTACTTTCTGGACTACCACAGGCCGCCGCTTCACATTTTTCCTTTGGGTAGAACTAGGGTGGCTATTTGGTCCGGGTGTTTTAGTTTTACCCAAAATCAGATTGGATCGGGATCGGATAGCAAACAATCAAATTCCATCTTTGAGTTTAGGAGCCGTTTGTTCCGTGGATTTAAAAAATGAAGGTTTTGGTAAATTTTGAGGTTTGTAAAATCATGGATATATGAGGGTTTTGGGTTCATCATGGACTTGAAGAATACCATTGTTTGTTTCATAGATTTCATGATGGAATTGGTTAAGTAGGTTTGTATGTATGAAGTGAAATTTACCTTTATTGCCCTCATTGGTATGAGAAGAGAAATAAAATAGGAGGGTAGTTTGGTCCTAAATGATGGACTTCAAAGTCCATGATCAATTCTCACATAAATAGGTGGAACTTTCAAGTCCGTGGGGTCCACAAATTAAGGGCTCGTTTGCTTGTTGGATTTGAAAAAGAGGGTTTTGAGTTTTCAAAACCTTTGGATTTATGATGGATTTGTTGCATTATGGATTTGGAAGAGTACATTGTTTGTGTAGTTTATTTTTGTCATAGATTCATGATGGATTTGTTCACATTTTGCCTTCCATTATCAGATCCCAAATGAAACATGGGATTTGCAAATTCGTGGGGTCCACGGATTTGGATCTAAAAAATGAGTCCAAATCCGTGGGCCCCACGGATTTGTGTCCCTTAGCAAACAATGGACTTGTGCCAATTCCATTATGCTTGGGATTTGGGTACCAAATCCATCACCCAAATCCCACAAGCAAACGATACCTAAAATTCGTGGGACCCACAGATTTGTTGGCTCTAAATGCATGAAGCAAACAATGGATTTTGGACAAAGTCCATGATGGATCCAAATCCCTCACCAAATCCATCACCAAATCCATCAAACAACCGGTAGAGACTGGGCCGAAAACCGGATAAGAGAGCCCAACACCCAAAACTTAACCACCTCCTTACCCTTTCAGGCCTCAGGCCACTAAAATCCCCACAAGCTCTATCTAAAATCAAGACCCAATTGGGACCGGACTGGGACAAGTCCAAACTGTATCCAATAAATCTTTGGTCCTCATATTCCCGAAAAGACCGGATTAGGACTTGTCAATATGAGCCAATTTAATCGGATCGGACCGTATAGACACCCCTAGATAGAACTAGCCTTATCCCGGCTAGTTGACGGGAGAATTTTGTTTTTTATTATTTACCTTCTTTTATTTATTAATTATTTTTAAGCTTGTAAGCTTTGAGACACCATACTAGTTTAAAATTTATTTAGATCATTAACTAACTAAAAGTTCTCATTATAGTGTATTCTAAAATCTAATGGGCCAGAAGCACTCGCCTTTATATGGGGTTTGAGATTGGCTAAGAATAATCATTTCGTGCCTTTGATTGTGGAAACGGATTGTAAATCTTTGGTTCAGAAGCTGGACAGAAGGGATTCAACGGCATGGGAGGTTGGTGGGATCTGTGACGAAATCTGGGATTTGGCGGAGGAAGAAGGAAATGTGAGCTGGAGGTTATGGGGGAGGGCTGGGAATGAATGTGCACATCAGATGGCTCGTGTTCGATGTAGGCTAGAGGAATCAGAGATCTGGTTCAACCGACCTCCTGTTATTTTACAACCCCAATTGTCGAAAGATGGCGTTGTAGTCACTGAATTTTCTTAATTTTCAATACAGATCTTTTATAAAAAAAATCTAATGGGCGAACCCTAATCCGTGATTCTCTAAACAAAACCCATATTTTTTTTTATGAAGAACGTAAACCGCATCTAAATGGTAAAGGCCTGTTTGTGTAATATAAGCATGCGTTTACACTTAACTTATATATTTCAATGTATCTGTAAGAATATGGAGGTTGGATTCCATGACTAAGGGGGTGCTTAGTCATTTGAATAAGCCCCTCCCAGCCATTAGATTTGGACACACCAATTTGACGGTTAAAACGTGGGAAGAACTTTTTAATTAATTACTGGGGTAGTTTGAGTATTATGAAAAATTACGAAGTATACAAACTGGACTTACAAATAGTACAAACCATACGAACAATACAAACTAGAGCGACAAAACATACAAACAGATTTACAAACAATACAACACGTATAACTATACAAACAATACAAACTATACCGACAAACATTACAAACCATACAAAATGAAAAAAACAACTGGGTTGACTAGTTTAGAGTCTCCATCCCTATATAGAGGGGCACCGTCCCAAAGTCAACCCGGTTGTTTTTTTACATACAAACATTACAAACATGGTGGACAAAAATGAGAAATTAGACCGACAAACTATACAAAATGGAAAAACACCTGGGTTGACTTTGTAGGCTCCATTTCTATATAGATGAGTTTCATCCAAAAGTCAACCAGTTTGTTTTTTAGACATTAAAAACATTACAACCATGATTGAAAAAATAACAAAGCTTACAAACGTTATAAAAGAAATCGACAAACATTACAAAATAACAAAACTTACAAACATTACAAATGAAATCGACAAACAGTACAAAGTATACTAACCTTACAAATACCACTATTTACAATACAAATTGGTAAACTTTTATTACAAACCAATTAATACAAAGCATACAAATCATAGCATAAAAGTATACAAAATAGATAAACAAACATTACATTTTACAATATGTACAAAATAGTCATATAAACATTACAAACATAATAGATAAAAATAACAAACTAGAATGATAAACGATACAAACCGAATTTATATAAACATTACAAATTGAACGGATAAACATTACAAAATAGGTTGACAAACATCACGAATCCAACACTGTCGTAGGAAAATCCATCTTTGTCGTGTCTGGTCGTTAGACTCCTCTGCGATCGTCGGGAAAGCCACCGGAACACACACACACACTCTCTCTCTCTCTCGGTCGGGAGGGAGAGAGGGATTTCCCGAGGAAAAAATGGCGCATTAGCTTGGAGGGAGAATGAGAAATTCCCCTGGTCGGCAATTGCCCAGAAAGCAACAGTAATTCCCCTGGCCGGAAATGACCACCGCCGGAAATTGCCCAGAAAACAACTGGGACGGAGACTGGAGGCTGTGACTGGCTGGCGCAAGGGAACAGAGACGAGATGTTATTCATTTTATAATTAAAAATAGAAAATAAACATGCAATTACTACATTGTCCTTCATTAAAATTGGATTAATTGGAGCCCTTGGATTTTAATGAGATTGAGTGGCTGAGATTCACTTAGCCATGTGACTAAGGGACCCCCTTAGTCACCTGATCTCAGCCCAAGAATAAGAGCCTTGATTATTATTTTTATTAAATTTTATGTTGTTGTTTAGCTTTAGAGAATCAATACCTATAATTCACCCATTACATTTTATGATATTATATAATGCATCCTTCGGACTCTAATTAATTGATGGTCTAAATAACAAAACTCAATTGATGTGTGGTAAGATTAATATGCGCCAAAAGTACACTAACCATATATGTAATTTCGCAGACTCAAACATTACTGCACATCTTGGTGAAAGGAAAATTAACAAAACTCAATTGACGCAGGGTAAGATTAATATACGCCAAAAGTACACTAACCTTATATGATTCCTACATTTTGGTACATATACTTTTTTATATTTTACATTTTGATACCTGAATTTTAAATGGTAACATAAAACATCATTTAAAAAATATGGTGTTTGAAGGTGTGGTTTTAGAAGATGAATTCATTTTACTTCCAATGCACATCAGTTCAAATGAATACATTTCAAATGCACATGGTGAGGATGATGTGTGAACCCCACGAACATGATCACCACCTCTTCCCATGGGATTTGGAAATGCGAGGATTTTGGCCAATCTTCAGTTCTTCGAATAAGAGTCTCAATCTCTTGAGATAAAATTATGTATCCTCTGCTCTCGTATGCTCAAATACGGAGATTCAAACACAATCTCTTGAGCAAAGGAAGTGCTTACGGATTTGATTTTAGGATAAGGGACCGCGACAAAACTAAAGTTACAAGAAGCAGAACAATTAAGTGCATGGAATTGGTAAAGTGGGTATTTGATTGTATAAGGAAATTATGAACTCAGGAAGATGATGAGTTGGCTTGTTGCTTGGAGAAAGAGGGTAAAAAGGAAAAGGGAAGTAAGTATACGTTGGTGTATGAGTAGTTTGCATGGAATTGAAGCACTTCCCGATAATAAGAGAATCGAATCAGTTCTCTTCTGTCTGTTGTCCAGTCTCCTACTACTAATGTTTTTGCTTCTTTTTATTTGCTGCTTTTCCACAGCAGAGAGAGAGGGAGACCTTTCTTTACCACTCCCCAAGGCAAAATGGTGGCTTTCATGTTTTCTCTTCACCTCCCACTTTTCACAAAGCCTGTTTAATTAAATTGAACTTAAATTAGTGCCCTCTGGCAAAAGTTCTCCTTTACTTAATTTCGAAGAGAAAGAAGAACCGAACTAAATTCCAGCAGAGGGAAAAAAGGAAAATGACAGAGAAAAAGTCATTAAGGAGCAAAGAAAAAGGAAAAGGGTACTGTGTGTATAAACCAAAACTTAAAAGTTAAAACAAAATCAACAAAATTGGGTCAAGATTTTGAACCTCTGGAAGAGGAAGGGAGGCTTCTCTGTCTTCTATCATCATCAAGATTCAAGAGCATCAAACTTCCCCTTACACCACCATCTTTATCGAAACTCTTACCATTTCCATGTTTCTCCCCTCCCCAAAATCCAATAATATTCCCTCCCACCCCTTCCCATGCAACCCCTTCCCTCTTCAGTCTTCACTCTTCACTTATTTTCAAGGATTGAAATACTGTATCATACCGACGGTTCGACCATAAAATACTGTACCGTACCAGCGGTATTTAACGGTATGAGCGGTTGAACCACGGTTTTAGCATAAAATATCCTATTGCTGACTTTTCCGGTATAGTACAGTATTTCAATCATTGCTTATTTTTACCGAAAATGTCATCAAGATATGAAATTACGATATGGTCTCACGTTATCACTACTTCATTTATCATCCTCCATTCTTAAGACTATATAAAACGCAAAACCAATTACTAGTGGGTTTGGATCGGTATATTTTAACTAGAAGTAATAAATTTTGAACTATTTTTGTCATATTCGTTCAATATATGTAGCCTTCCCAAGTCCGAACTAACCACCTACTGCAACTATCAGAGGAGAAGATTTATTTAGAAAACATCAAGAATTGTAAAATCATATTGAAGGTTATATCAGAAAAGTTAGTGGTAGAATATATTAAACCAAACATTACGATATATATTACTGTGATTTAACTATTTCATATCGCTAAAATCGTCTCCAACTTGAGTTCCCGTAAGTGATTTTTCTATCGGATTCGCAAACAATAGAAAAGAAGAAAAAACTCAAAGTATGTTGAGGGTAACAATAACATTTCTCCTCTTGGTTAGATAGGACTAGTTCAACAGAACCGATTAAATAAGTTAGGAGTTAAACTTGTTCAGTTAGTTGAGTTGTATAAATAGAAATAGATTGAGTCATTGTATGGATTAATGTTTTATCTTCATTCTCCGTATCGAACACAATACCTTCTTCAATCAATTTAGTTCTGTGCGTTCAATAATTTGACATGGTAACAGAATCCAACGCCAATTTTGATAGTTTCTCAATCTTTCCTTTCTTTGTAATTCTTTTTTTTTTTTTTTTTTTTTTTTTTTTTGATGACGAGGAACACCCTCCACGGTCACCACCTTTGGTGATGCCGTAGTCGGGCCAAACCCCGGGACCTCCGCCAGCAGTCCGGGCAAATGCGGGTGCCTCCGGGAACACCATGGTGGCGGTGAGGATCGAACCTGAGACCTCTCGGTCACTAGTTCGCCTTCCTTACCACCAGGCTATGTGACCTTTGGCTTTCTTTGTAATTCTTCACAAGACAAACACTTGTTTCTTCAATCTCCTCTCCTAATTACCAACACTGACACACACACACGAGTGAAACTGTGAAACCCTGCAACCCCCCGCAGTAAAAAATTGCTATCCCGTATTATTCCATTCCATACTCCAATATATGCTTAATTATGGATATCTGTTCCATATCTGTGTGCTACGTACTTCTAGTAAATCTAATCTGCATTAAATAATAATTTACTTCATAAGGTGACACAAGATGACGATGATTATATCATGAAATTTATTTCCAAAAGAAAAGAGATGAAATATTTAACTTTCCTCTAATTAACAATTCAGAAATTTCTACATATACTAGCGTCGAGTTATTAAAGCTGAGAAGCTAGCAAATGAAGGAAAAATGGTCGGAATAACGTAAAAGTGATTATTTTGGCTGCTGCGTGTCCAGATTACTTAGCTTTCCTCTAATTACTTACTTCTTTTCTGGATAAATTAGATTACATTTCCCAACAAGGGGAATGTAGTGAAGCATGTATTATTTGAGTTGTGATATAAAAAACTAAACTACATATTCTAATAAGCCAGAAACCCAATTGATGTACTAATATCGAAATTTGTAAAATCTCTAAATGTTGCAATATGGACGCAAAGTACCTTAGAGTGCACGCAGAATGAGAAATTTCTATATATAGCATAATTAACCTACCTCTAACAAAGACTCATTGAAGGAGAGTTTGATCCGAACAACAATCCATCACCAAAATCCATGAGCAAATCACCAACCTTCTAAGCATTGTTTTTGGAATATTTGAGTGTTTTTGAAACCGTACTGCTGGTCCAATTAAAAAAAAACTCTTAACTGGGGTCTGAACCAATAAGCAACTTTTAATGATATGAAACAATTAAACTATATTTTTAAAACAAAAATACCGTATTATACTAACTTGTTAGACACAATTTTCGATAAAATTTTACACCTCTAAGAATGTTGAAAACCATTATATATGGATATGTGAAAGGCCATCTTTCCCCCCGAACTTATAGTGCATGTTGTAGGTCCGCTTAACATCATTCACATTGGTATTGCATTCTCAATTGTAAAATGACATGATATAGGTATTTGCAACTGCAAAACCAATTGTATTGATGTGGCTACTAATTGCATATTTGCAAGCTTGCAACAAATGCGATTCCATATGTATGTAAAAAAAGCCTAAAAAAATGGGGATTTTTTTATTATATATTATTTTCTTTTCTCTTTTACTTAATTTTCTATAATTTAAACATAATATTTAATTATATTTGCAATTGCAGGTTAATTGGATTGTTGTAGGTGAGTGAAATGAATGTGATGTTGATTGCAAAAAATTTGAATTGACAATAGAAAAATACAAATGCAATTTCTTTTGCAATTGCATGGATGGAGATGCTCTAAGATGGCCATATATGTTGAAAGGCAGATAGAAATAAACGACACGACCACGAACATCTCATTCTCCCGTCTCCGTCTCCGTCTCCGTCTCCTATTCTTACTTGGCTTTCATTTTGTGTTGGCGCAGATGAGATAATCAACAACATTACAGGATGTGGATTGTGGGGTACTCTTGAAGAATATTATTATGACAAAAATTTCAGTGATATATGGCTGGCTAGCTAGCTAAGTCCGGAATGAATGAATATTCAATTTGTCTGGCAACAAGTAGCGAATTTTGGTTTCGTTAAGAAGCGACAAAAGAAGGAAAAGGAAAAGGAAATAAAATTTGTTCCTCCTTATCCCAAATCTTTACTTTGGTATCTGGATCCATGCATGGAATGGAAATGGACCTCCATGCTAATTGCTAGCTAGCTAGCTATCTGGGTTCGATTTTAATTTTAATTCCCTTCCCTTCCTTTTCTTTTCGTTTCTTTTTTGTTTTCGTCACGTCCCATGCCAGTCAAAGATTTTATTGTTGCCAAAGAAGCCGGAAAATGAACAGTCCTGAATGCTTAATTGTGAGGGTTAGGCCCCAAGTCCAATATAAACCAGTCAAAAAAGTGTTGTGCTTTTACTTGCTTGTCTGTCTACAATATGTTGTTATATTATATATATGTTGCGATTTCAGGTTGCAATGTATATATAAGCTTTTCGTGGGGTCAGGCGCATACTAGCTACATGTACATGCATATATCCATCCCACCGGCCTCTAAGCAAATCAATTTCATCACTTTTGAGTTATCGTAAGTTTTGAGTGTTTTAATTTTGTATAATACAAATCTGATGTGACTGTTAGTTTTTTATTAAATTGATTCCCGAGTTTATCATTTGCAAAATTAGGGTTTAGGGTTTAATTATTCTGAGTTTAGAATGATAAAATGATACCTCAAATCTCGAATAATTAGTGTCAACCTCGGAATAGTTGATTTTGCGATGGTAGACATCGTTTCAGGTGGTGCTCGTGTAACCTGAATTGGTTACCACTTACCACCAAAGATCTTAAGACCCCAAATCTCAATGCATTCAAAGAAATGTATTATTGGCTATTGATAATTGTTTAACGCTTCTTTTAATAGTAATAAGTTCATCGCCTCAGCTATCTCGATTAGACAATTGAAAAAAAAATGGAGTCTTATATCGGAGAGCATGTGCCACGCTCTCATGCACCACTCTCTTGTTCCCTAATCTCTACATTTGGTTGATGCCCTATCGATCTCACCACCACCACATCCATATCCAGCTGGTGCTGCCTGAGAAACCCTAAAAGATGACAGAGAGAGCCTGTTCAACACAATTTAGCCAACTATCACAACTTTATCGCAATTTTGGTTGAATGAATTCCCCTTTCACTTTTCCTTTTTCTTGGTTTTTGTTTCTGAAATTTCTTTTTTTATATAGGATTTGTTTCTGAAATTTCAAGTATGAGAATCTTGATTTTCAAAATTACAACTTTATTTTGCCCCTCTCTCTCTCTCTCACTCACTGTATCTTTATTCATCTAATTATAGTCCCTAGTGATTCCTTTGTCCAAGGCCAAGGCCAACCCACCCCAAAGTGAAAAAGAATATTATGTAAAAAGAAACAAAGCAAAGCTCTCTCTCTCTCTCTCTCTCTCTCTCAATATCTCACTCTCAAAGAGTACACTACACCAAAGCTGATGAGCTGCAACGTAACGTAACTCCACTGTCTCCAAAATCTCTGCTCCATTTCTCGAGGCTTATATTCATTTCCATTCTCATTCCATGTCGTGTATATATAAATAAACCCCACCCCAAACTCCCTACCCACTTATCCCTCTAGCTAGCTAGCTTCATTACTCCTACATCATTCCCACCTTCGTTAACTTCCGATTCATCTCAGCTCGACTCAAGGTAAGACGATAGCATTATCGTCGTATGAGAACATCCATCACACTCTGGTTTCAAAACGTTAATGGTTTCCTCTAATGAAAAATGACGTATTCTCCTCTCTTTCTTTCTTTCTTTTTTTTTTTTGGTTCTGCGCCAGATGAGTAGACCAGGGGACTGGAACTGCAGGGCGTGCCAGCACCTCAACTTCCAGCGTCGGGACTCCTGCCAGCGATGCGGCGAGCCCAGGCCCGGATCCGGCGGCGGCGGCGGAGTGGTCGACCCGTTTGGCGGCTTTGGAGGGGGTAGGCCCATGGGAGGTGGGCCCGCTTCGTTCGGGTTCGCTGGGCCGGATGTCAGGCCCGGGGACTGGTACTGCACCGTCGGCAACTGCGGAGCCCACAACTTCGCCAGCCGCTCCAGCTGCTTCAAGTGCGCTGCTTCCAAGGACGAATCCTCCGCCGGCGGCGGCTTCGACGGCGACATGTCTCGCATGAGAGGCTACGGCTTCGCAGCAGCCGGCGGCGGCGGTGGAAGCAGCCGCTCCGGGTGGAAATCTGGTGACTGGATTTGCGCTAGGTATACGTTTGGTTAATTACAGTTAGGCACCTATACTATTCACAGCGTTAAATTCACTTCAATGTATTTTTTTTTTTTATATTATAGGGTTGGGTGCAACGAACACAACTTTGCGAGTAGGACGGAGTGCTACCGATGCAATGCGCCAAGGGAAGCCTCCATTGCCGGCGCCGGCAACAAGTCTCCTTATTAAGCCGTTACCAATAAAAAAAAAAAACTTCCCCATGCATTTTTGGGTACGTAATGTTTATTTTCCACATACAATATTGTTGTAAAATCTCGTGAGCATCTGATATTCAATTGTACCGGTCTGTTACATCGACTCAAGTTCATATTTGTGATATGCCCTTATCATAGTGTTACAATAATTTAATGAGAATTTGCAACAAGGGTATGTATAGTATATACTATTAGCAGGATTTAATGATTTCGTGACTTGAAATTTTTTCAGGCTCACCGTTGGAAGCATCAGAAGAGAGAAGAAGGGTTGCTGCTAGCAAGCTAGTTTAGATCGTATAAGAAGGGCAAAATGATGGGTCCTGGTCACTACTCCTATTCTGGGTCTCTGCTAATTTTGGTCCCTTCTCTTTAATTTTTTTCTTTCTTTTTGGTTTCTTGGATTTCTACCAACTTTGTTTCAATGGAGCGAAAGGAGTAAGCTTTATTAATTAGAAGGATTAAATTATGGTTGCATGGTGGAAGGCTAGCTATAAGGAGGCAGGATGATGATAATGATGGTTTCAGCATTTTGTGAGCTTCGAGATTTTCTCTGCTGTTGGTTGATTATTATTATTAATATGGACATGTAGCAGCAAGCACTCTATGATGTTGGTTTCGGTGTCCTTTTTGGGTTCTTGATCAGTTTAGGGTTTTCGTTGTTACAATCTCCCGTTATGTGTACGTGTTGCTCCTCCACTTCTTTCTTAATTTACCTTAATGAAAAGGAAATATCTCCACCTCTTGTTTCCTCGTAAACTGCTGCAAAATATCAACAAAACTCTGTACGAACACTCTCGTGTCAACAATGATTTAAAAGAAATTTGATTCTCATGATTAATCATAACCAAGTTAGATAGAATTTCATTACAGTTCTTTGTAATAGCAGATTTCGCTCATAACGACGAGAATTATATTCTTCCTTATATCAAGGCAGCTTCTTTAATTTTTAGTTTATAATTTAGATATACTGCTAGCTAGCTTTAAAGCTGAAGTAGTGTTAAAGGAGCTAGGGTGGTCCAAGGAATATTTGACATGAAACAATAATGTCCTGTAAAATTGAACACCACCACCATTGCCTGTCGAGCTTCCTACCTCCGGAGAAAAAGAAGAAAAAAGCAATGCTCCATGCACTTACGTCTATATATATATATATGGACCAGTATATCCTCGTCTTTCTTTGCCACCTTTCAAGGCCACTAGATCTTTGTCGTCGTTCGGATAGATGTTTGGACCAATTTCACAGTTCAATTCCGAATTTCTTGTGGAGTATTTATGTATATAGATTGGTGTATGTCAGCCGTATACTATACGTCAGGTATTACTAGTGAGATATATCTACAAAAAATATGAATTAAATCGAATTTGGGGTACGATACTATACTCTAATCTCTAATGGATAAACACCGGGCACCGATTTTCCAAATTTACTTTCACAAAATTGACGCAAAGCCAATAAGCCTGCATTCGTCCACACGATGATCATATATATCTCTCGCTAGAATTTAACATATGCATGTATTACTGATGGCTTATATCTGCTGGGTTAGAAGAATATGAATATGAGACCTCTTAATTAAAGATTCTATGTGAAAATTTTGTTGGTCACCGCAATTTGAATCGTAAGGAGAGGGTAAAGAATGAATTCGATGATTAAATAATTTAATGGGTCATCGGATGTAACATGTGAGAAATGTGGCATCCTGAGCTGAATTTTTGTGCATTGCATGTTTATTTTTTGTCATCAGAATCAGCCTTAAATACCAAATAAGAATAATGCAGCCAAACAACGCAGAAATAAATTAAAAGGATAGTTAGAGGGAGCTAGAACTTTAGGTCATGATTACCACAAGTTTTGTGAAATAGCTAGCTATAGTACTATTCACCTAGTCTAGAATAAGATAGACTAATACTGATGATCAATATTTGATTGGCAATTATAGAATGCCAAAACGTGTATATATATAATTATATATAGTTAAGATGGGCAGCTGCCTATCCACCATTACTTGATTTTATGATGCGGTGGCTACTTTGATTAACGGATTAGGTTAACTTAATATAGTTTAATGAAGGTCCAATGCCGGAAATCTTATTGAGACAAACACATTATTAAATAGAATAATTCACATAGGATTCCAAAGTAGAAGCTAACAAAGTAACAAGCTTTCATGTGGTTCCCTCTCATTGACCTATCTCTTAGGGTATCAAATACAATTGTTTTGTGTTTTATTTTAATGGTCAAAAAGCACACACACTTCCATTAGTGATGCATGTAAAACTACACTCCATTACATAGCTTTTAGCAAGATTCTTTGGGTTTCACTTTAGGGCTAGCTAGCTAGCTTTATGTTGCTTCATAAGCTTTGTTGATTTTAGTGAAGTCAAGTAGTACTAGTACTTCTTCTTCCCCCCATCTTATTTAATCATGATTCATGCATGTAACTTGGTGGCTGTCCCTCCAATTCCTCAATGGAATTATGCCTATGACAACTTCTTCTTTTGTCAAGTTTGAGGCCATTGGAGATTTCAAGTCATATGCATATCAATTCATACTATTTAATGTGCCTTTATAGTTCACCATTCAACATGTTTCTTCCAAAACTCGGCTGAATACTTTGAGACGGGTCGTTTAGAGGGATATTTTAATTAGATAATTAGAGTAACTGTCTCAAAATGATTTGTCTTGCTTAGGAAAGTGAAGATAACATAAGACAACTAGTGCACGAGACATTGTGAAATGTGTCTGATAGGACGCTTATAATAGTCTATCTCATGGGATGAATTTTCTAAAATATCTCATTTTAAGTCAAATGTCTCATTTTACAAAATTTCCATTCAAACCATCCATAAGGCATCTAGTTATATATGGATATTTTTATTGGAACCTGAAGTCATAATTTATACTAAAATTGAAGTATGTAAGGTAACTTTGTAAGATTTATACTTGGATCTTTTCACCCTGATAGAGATCAACATGCAAGTGAATACTCAATTTATTAAGACGAATTGAATCTCTGCAAAGGATATAACATTCAAGAGTTTTGGGATAGCATGAGGCTAATTGCATACACAAACTATAACCTCATACCAAAATTTCAAAAGCAGATATATCTCTTCATATACTACACATAGCTCTACTTCGATACGAATGTATGAATCTGGAACCTGCATAATTTTGTAATGCAATTCAGAAGTTTCATACCAGCTAGAGTGCATGGACCTAACTGCCCCTAAGGCAGTCGAGTTCATTATGTCAAATACAAAGAGAAAACACTTTGATGTGGTCATGCTCACAAAAGAGGTAACACTAATGTGCCTCTTTAATCATTGTTTGCCATATGGTCAGTCGGGGCCCTTTCAAAAGCTCAAGCTCAAAGGATCCATATAAAAAAAAAAAGCTCAAGCTCAAAGGCTCTCAAAACAAAGCAAAAAAAGTTTCACTACATATTTTTAAGCACAGGCAATAGAGTTGAAATTCTATCAAATAGTGTAATGGTCAATCCCAGAAATTAAAGAAAGCTCCCCTAAAAGACAAGAGAAAGAAAAGGGAGGAGGAAAAAAGAAATTTTACAAAGGGGACTTTTTATCCAATTCAAACTAGCCCACGATAAAAATTGGTTTAGTCTTTTAAAAAAGTTAAAAATTCTATCTCCCTTACCCTTATAGCTTTTTGTAAATATAACGCTTTTTAACAAGCCAAGCATGTTCTAAGCCCTTTAAAACCTTTCGCTTTTTCTCCATCTCTTTTTTACAAAATACAAACTAAGCATATGCTCCAGTAATTTCACTTTGAGTTTACCAAAACTAGTTTCCTTTGTTTTAGTTGTTTTTCAGCCACCCAAGAGCAAAAGCTTAATGATATTACGTGTCTATTTATCCTATCATATTTCTAGTCCACCGGTACAACATCATAATGAGTAGATTCTCAAAACATAAGATTTTCATAAAATTTATCGGAGTAGTACTATAAGGATGTTATCATATATTAAATTGATCCCTTACCAAAATTTATTGAACAGTCCTTCCCTATTTGAACAAGATTTAGCTAAACGAGAGTCGGTTAATAAGAATTTTAATCAAACAAATAAATATTTTGCAATATTGTTTTCCCGGCGAGAAAAATCTAGATGAACAGAATTGGATTTTTGCACCTTTTTTACTTCCAAACAAACGATTAACAAACACGGTCTACACCGCTTTGAACAAAGTTCAAACAAGGGGGTTCAATGTTCTTGATGAACTACGAGGCAAACTAAATTACATTAATTCTACTCCTATGGAGGTTCAGTGAGAGCTCCAGAACTACAACTATGGCTAAATTTGCAGAGGAAAAGATAAAAGGATAAAAGTTGACATTGTGTTGTCTGGTGTGATTTTGGCGAACCTTTTCTCCATCATCTTCACCTCCTATTTATAGCCACCAGAAGTAACTGCGTCGAGAAACTGCTCTGCTAACGTGGAGTGGTGGTTACCTTCTCGACTGCTTCGATTATGCTCTGCCATTGGTGGTTGTATCTTCTTCAGTCTTGGCCCCTCACCTTAATAGTTATGCCAGTTGAGAAAAATGAAGAAGGCGTGAAGACCCCCTTGCTACATGTGGGTGGGTTGGGATCACATATAGTAAAAATGGTAAAAATTGTTCACCACTAAAAAAGCGGCATACTTAGCCAAATTTCATCTCCAAGGGGGTTATACTTAGCCAAATTTCACTCGTTCTCATCATACTAGGGGGTGACCCCCTCTGATCCTCATGGATTGATCCCCACCCCCTAATCATACCATGGGGATTGGTATGTTGGTGGCCCCTTGACCACCTCAATGGGTTGCTCTTTGCCATCCACATAATCTTCCATACTTAACCAAATTTCCAACCCAACTCACCACACTAAAGGGTATGGTGATCACCCACCATGGTGGCATGTGTTGATGGCCACCCCTGGGGGCATGTGTCGATGGCCATCCCCATGACCACCTCATGGGGGTGGCTTCTTGTCATCCTCGTTATCTTCCATACTTAGCCAAATTTCTACCACACCTTACCACAATAAGGAGTATGGTGATCATACCCGTGATCACACCATGGGGCCCCTTGCCTTCGACCATCCAACTCCGCCATACCACCCTCCTCCTCGTCCTAGGGGGCTGTGTGGTGTCCACCCACCTTGACACCTCCTTGGGTGGAACCATAAAGTACTTATATGTGTTTAGATCTCGCATTTCAAAAACTCCCCCTTTTCTTTCTTCTTTAGTGTAATAATAAAGTAGTATTGTAATAAATAATATAAATAGTTACTGTAATACAAAATAGAATGGCAATACATATATGATCAGATCTATAAACGGTTGTACCCACCCCCCTTACCACGTCCCGAGGTTGGTAGTATGATGGTCACCCCCCTTGGCACATCATGGGGGTGGCGGTATGATGCCCAACCCCTTATCACGTCATGGGGTGGGGTGGCGGTATGATTGCCACCCCCCTTGCCATGTTCTGGGGGGTGGTATGATGGTGGTCACCCCCTTGCCACGTCCTAGGGGTGGTGGTATGATGCCCACCCCCGGGTGGTTCCAACACTTAGCCAAATTTTGGAATTGATGGCAAGGGTGGCGCGCAGAGTGGCTTTGGCATGGGTGTCATAGGCTCAAAAATCCAATTCTCGTGGCCCATCTGAATTGATTTTAACTGTGATAATTAAGTTGGCCTTATAAAGCCATTTAATTCTTTGTTTCTAACCGATGTGATACAAGATTAATTTTTATGGGTAAACAAATATAAATCGTCTCTTAGAGAGTGTAGATTTTTCGTCCTTAAAGATATGCCTTGTTCGAAAAAAATGTCTGAATATCCTTAACAACCTCATTAATATTGCTTAGCTTACATATAAACCTTAATTGTTTAACCATCGAGACCTACACTTCTGTTCATTCACGGCCAAATGGCAAAAGGACAAAGAAGCAAAGCCCCAAAACTTGTTGAATGTGAAAAGGGTAATCCTCGACCAGCCAGGCCTGCTTTGCGCTTTAGTTAAAGCCCAACAACGTTAAGCCCAGCAGTGAAACTGGCCGTTTCAAATATTCCGGCCCGCCCAGCCACTCTGGTTCATTCGTATTTGATTTCCCCTCGTCACCCACGCCAAGACAGTAGACGCCGGAGTTCGATCGTTAACAACACCTTGACCAACGAGTTTCTTCATTTCTCAGCAGGCATAGCCGGTTTATGGTTTGGCCTTTTGGTGCTCGATCGTTTCCTTCATAATTGGAAATGAATCCTAAGATGGCGATCTCGTTATTGCAGCCTGTAAGCGGCTCTCATAACGCACGCTACCTGTTCGATAAAAGTTCCCAATGAAGTTTCTCGACCTCCAATCTCGGGATACACTGAATGCGACCTACAGTCCAATAATACTAGATGCATTGCTCAGTTATGGTGTACAGAAACTCACGGAAGTTTCTCCTCGGTGCAGCGCGTACCGAACTGGGTAGATTCAGAGATGATGTGTGGGTGAAGTTGAGGCTGTATCATTGTTCTTCAGGGGAAGTCCTGCCTTTCGAATGGTACGAGAAGGCGTTCCCCAAAATTCAGAAATTGACGCGACAGTTGCGTAACGTGGATTTGATCGACGGAAGGGCGGTGAACACAGTTGACGATTCGTTCATAATGAACCCCAGGGTTCTGCACAAGGTCGCTACTTTTAAGTCTCTGGTCAGGGTTTTCATTGGATCTCCATTGGTTCAGCAGAAGACCAAGGAGAATGTGGTGGCAAACGGAAGAGGTTTAAGAAGCAACGCGGTTGCTTATTTCAGCAATGCAAGCGAAAGAGAGCCCATGATTGTGGATTCACTGACCAAAGTTGGCAACTTTCTGAACGTATCAGCGCAACAGAGGAAGGAGGTGCGAGTCACGATCTGCCCACAGGTGACCCACCATCGAATCTGGACGGGCGCCCTTCAGGAGGTCTTGAACTCGTTGAAGTTGGAGATGGACTGCTTGGGTTACGATTGTTCATCAGGCAATATGGGGCATCAGATCATCTCCAGCTGTCTCGCCTTATTAGCTGATTCAGACACTTCTCCAGAAGATGAGCCCACCTCATGGATGCGGCTTGCACCTTCTAAGCCCACCAATCCTAACAAGTCTCGGACGTGGGAAGACGTTCTTGAGATGGTCTACGATCTCATAGGGTGTTTGAGACATGAAAGGGAGTCGCTTTATCACATTTCCAAACTCGAGGTTATGAAAGAAGGGTTGACTCAGATCAAGGATGTGCTGGTCGATAAAGGGATCGGTTATCGAGAGGCTCGTCATCAGGAAACCCTAGTGCAGAAGAAGCTCTCCAGTACATTGGGTCATTCCTCTCGTTGCCTGTTCACGCTTCTGCTGTATTACCTCTATGGACAAGTGAGAGACATTGAAGTTGATCTTTGTGGGGGGCTGTACAAGACTGATGATAAGAATAGGTTTCGTCTGAGAATGGGAAGGATTTTAACTTCAGATGAGGAGCCGATGGTTCTAAGAGGAGCTAAGCATTTGGATAGAGTTCTTGAGCTGTTTAAGTTTGTGTGGGAAACTGCTGGTATGAAAGGTGTTCTTGAGCTGGAAGGTCATCTTTTTTGCGTGGATGCGCAGGACAGAGTGACCACGTATAGAGGGAACTCGTTCTTTGTTCATGGGATTAACTTTTGACGATGATGCTATTGTTCAATCCAACAGATCACTTTTTCTGCAATTTTTTTTTCACTATGTCACATGCTTGATCGTTTAATAATCTGAAGGTATGTGCACGGTCATGTCCGATCCAGGGTTGGATCGAGCTTGATAGTTTGGAGTCGATACATTGTAAAACTTGTTCACATCTAGCCTCTAGGAAATAGGAAATGTATTCTTTCCAAACCAACAAAAAATGACTCGAAATATTTTCTGCATTGAATGAGAACAGAAGAAAAAAGATGGAAACCCAATCCATTTCAAAAACATTCGACATCCATTGCCCTGCTCTTGAAATGAAGCAGAAACTGTGAAATCGGTTAAGCCAAACAGTTACAGATTCTTAGTCACAGATCAGATAAACCGAAGTGCTTCTAGAGTGACTCCAAAGTGTTTCCAAACCCTTCATTTCAGCTTTGATTTTGAAGAGCTCTGTAAAGGCTTTGCAATGGTTCGGGCAGGAGCACTCTTCGCGACCTTCTTCATATCATACTTCACAGAAGAGAATGCACAGATGACTGCAAGCACGATTGTCGGGTAGACATAGACTGATTTAGTAGGATCGGTGTTCACCGGCTTCCCCAAGATTCCTTCCTTGATAAGCCCCCAGAGTATCAAAAGTGTCCCAAACATGCTCATCCTCCCAGGTTTTAGGATCCCGACCAGTGATCCTGCCACTGTAAAGTAGCTTCCAGCAAGAACCTGGAATCAGAAAACCAACAAGCGGGAATTGAAATCTCAGTAAAGCACACTACCAAGCTGTTCAAGCTATAGCTAATTATGTTGAAAATGTACAAGTACTATCATAATGAGAGGTGAAGGGGCTCTAGGATAAAACTTCAGCAGAGTTAGGTGCTCGTTTAGTTGTTTTCACCAATCACCACAAAGACTAGGGTGTGGAATTTAGCTCCTACAACCTCACCTTAAAAAGAGACAAAACCAGTCTCATAACCTTCCCAGAAAGGGGAAGAGGCAGAGATGGTAATAAAATCAGTTTCAGCAACTAGTCAGAACTGTTACATTTCAGCTCCATTAATGAGCAAAACACACGGTAAGTTATTTAATTGACGAAAAGTCTTCGACCATGTGCATATCTGTGGCAGCACTATAATCTCACTTGAGCAAAACTAAAGATTCAAGGACTGCTGAAGAACAATCTTCTCAAAATTCACACCCTAAGCAGTCCAGCTATCAGAGATGCAAACAGCAGGCTAAACCCACATCATTGAAAGCACAAAGCAACCATCTTGTTTATTCGACCATAGATTCTTTACTATCTCAGATGTTCATCATCTAATCGACTTATGAAGAGTGAAATAATGTTCACAGAGACAAACCTCCAAGCGCTGGAGATCCGTAACAGGAGAGGCATCCTTCACCGTGGTCAAGTTATACATATCAAGTAAGCCGTCCCAAGATGGAATTGTCCTCTTCGTAACAAGATCATTCACCACGGCGCCAGGATAGAGGAGGGCTTTCACTACTGGAACAGGGAAGATGTCGCTAGCAATCAATTGGGAAGACGTGACGTGAATTGGAGATTTACACATCCCGGATCGGCATGGCACCCTGCAATTGAAGCCCCGATTCAATGCTAATTGACAACAGTAGCCATAGAAAGACCAGAACTCAAGATCTTCCACTCCCAAGTTCAAGTATACAATTCCATATCAAGAATTTGAATAGATTTCAAACCCTAGAGAAACGAGAAGAAATTGAGGAAAAGAGAAGAGAGAAGGGGAATTTTACCTGAAGAGAGGGACCTGAAGAATGATGAGGAAGAAATAGATTCGGGAGGCTATTGCTGGAAGATTCTTCACCCATCCCTTCGACGACGCCGGCACGACCGTCGGAGACGACGACGACGACGACGCTGCTCTCTTTGACGCTGAATTACCTGTCGAAACCGCCATTGTCAACTGATAAATCAAAGGCCAGAGGAATTGCTCGCGGAATTAAGGAAAGGTGAAAGGTAGGGTTCTGATCTGGTGTTCACGTGAGCACCATAAAATATACCCAGAGACCAATGGGCAGCCTGGCAGTGGCATGCCTGCTTCAACAGCCAGCTGTCCTTTCCAGTTTAAACGAAACGTTTTAGCTAAAACGCTGCGTTGCGACGGAGTGATGATTCTTCAGAGTGTCTCTTCCCTCCGCCGCGAGGGTTAGCTGCCGGCTTTACGAATCTAAAAGCATTTTATCGTCGGAGATAAACTTGGTTTCCAAAATTCTTGTTTTTGGAGGATTCAGAGAGTGAGGAAATGGCTTCTGCTCTCTCTGCTTTCAAGACTTGCTCATCTCTTCGGAGCTTCTCTACGCTTCACAACCGAATCTTCATCCGCGGACGGTATATGCCACCGCCGTCCAATCTACTTCTCCCGTACTCGGCTCTCGCTGGCTCTTCCGTAGCTTTCTCTCGCCGGAGGAATCAGAACTCTACCGTCTCATCCACTCCTAGGAAAAATAAGGTGAATGGAAAGCTGCTAGACTCGTAGACTTTGCATGAACACCAACTGTTTGTTTAAAGTCCACAATGGTTTGGATGAGGCCTTAATGATTGAACAGAACTGTTGGAGTTCTTTTGTTCTTGCATTCAGAAACTTTTCAAATTGGCTTTATGCTCATACTGTATGCTATCCTGGGTTGTCTTTGTTTGGAACAGAAAAAAAGTCTGCCTGCTGAAAATGATGACGAGGAGGAGGGAGATGACATAGATGAAGATGCATTCGATGCCCTTTTTGACATGCTGGAAGGAGACCTGAAGAACAGCGATTCATCTGTAGGTGATGAGGATGACTACGATGATATGAGCGAAGAAGATATTATGAAGCTTCAGTCTGAGCTAGAAAAGGCACTTGGTGCTGATGGTGGTGAGGATGAAGCTTATGACATGGAAACTGATGAGACTTTCCCTCGCGAAGAAGAAGTGGGTAAGGTGGGAAGGCCATCGAAGCTTAGGAATTGGCAAATCCGAAGATTGGCCTCTGCTTTAAAGAAAGGCCGTCGCAAAATTAGTGTGAGGCATCCTGTTTTCTCATGATTAAAATATCGTTAGTAGAGTAGTCTCAGTGTTCTGAGGTTCTGATGGATTTTGTCTTGGGCTGTATAGATTAAGAATTTGGCAGGTGATCTTTGCCTTGAGAGGTCTGTTGTTCTCGACTTGCTTCGTGATCCTCCTCCAAGTCTTGTGATGTTGAGTGCTGCTTTACCCGACGAACCTGAACCAAGTCTGCCGGTACAAGCAACTACACCAGTAGAATCTGTAACTGAGGAAATGAATGTCGAGGAAGATGGCGTGAAAGACGAGAGCAAGGTGAATTTGCCAGTTCATGTCATGTATCACAAATGGAATGCACAGAAGAGGCTGAAGAAAGTTCATGTTCAAACCCTCGAGAGAGTGTACAGAAGAACCAAGAGACCTACTGTGAGTAAAGTTTGCTGCCAAGTGCATAATAATGTTCTCCCCCTACCATTCAACCATAATTGATGTGTTTAACTTGCTGCATTGCACGACGAATCATGGAACTGAATGCAAATAAGGGTTTGTTATAGTAGTCTTATTTCCTTCATGCTGCCTAAATTTTGCAGAATACCATGGTCAGCAGCATTGTGCATGTGACCAACTTGCCTCGCAAAAGAGTGGTGAAATGGTTTGAAGATAAACGCACAGAAGAAGGTGTCCCTGAACAGCGTCAGCCATATAGAAGATCCATTCATGAAACTGTCTCTTCCAGTTGAATCATTGTGTACATCTATCGTTGGCTACCTGATTAAATATCTCTAATGGATAGACTATCTTCTGTAATCGTGAGATAAGTCCTCTTTTGTCCTAATAGCCCATGGGAACCCATCTCATTCGTGTAATTTTGATATTGTAAGTTCATCATATTCATAATATCCATAACCGTGTTACGATCAACCGATGGCTTCACCTAATTGCCTAAACCCGAAAACTGACTGACCGACTGATCTCACCTAGGGATGAGCTGATCAAGTTCTTTTTTAAGCAATTCCCATTGCTGTTGAAGCAAGGAATACACAACCAACAAAAGAGTCACTAAAATTGACTCAGAATAGTGGGTAGGAAAGCTCTGAAGCATGCAGTCACGTAATTCCATTTTGAAGCTGAAAGATTATTGTGCGGGAGTTAGATATGGATGTCAAGTTCACTTTCCTGGAATGGGTAAGGCCCCATTTTTTCATCACAGTTGAATTTTGGTACTCACAAAGGGAATATTTTTAGGCGTGACTCTTACCTCAAACCCTTTAATGACTCCCACCAACTTAGCCCTCTCCACGCCTCCACACCTTTCTGCCATTCCTATTTCATTTTGTTGTGATCAACTGCTTGCCTTGCCTGCTTACACTGCTGTTCTGTGAAGAATAAGAAATGTGCAGAAATGAGGGCTCCTTTCAGCCTAAAACACAGGGTTTCGCAGACAAACCCTCTTGCTCTGGTTTTGGACTGAAGGGAGCTCCCAATTCTTCTCTTTCTTTGTCTGCTTGCTTGATGATTCCTGCAGAATCCAGAGATTATGATGACGTTGGCGAGAGTAAGTTGATCAAACCTTTTGCCTCTTCTCTTGCCAAAGTTTGGGTCAGTATAGATGTTCTGTGGTGCTGCATCGTATTGTTGGTGGCCGCTGCATGACTGAGAAGCAAACTATTGTTTGTCGCAGAATCTTTTTCTTTTTCCTTCCTACATGATGCCTGATGGTGTCTGCATTTTTTGCCTAGAACTGGTTGAAACACATTAGCCGAGTCAATTGCATTGCCAGTTCATTTACGTTTATATGTTGTTAAAAATTTATTGATTTATTTGTATGATGTTAACAAAGCAAGGCAAAAGCCAAAAGCTACGGTACATATCTATAATGTTAGGATGATGAAAGTTGACTTTACTGATGTATGTTCTATTAAGAATCAGCGTTAGAAGTATTAAGTTCCTAAGACCCTGTTTAGTATCATTTTGCTGCTTCGTGGTTATATTGGAGTAGTGACAACAGAGGCACAACCACAACAGGAAGAAAAAAAAAAATAGAAAACACAAACATGTTTAATTGCTCTATTTTTTGTGATATTTTCGTGTGGATAAAGTTGAAGCAACTTATCTTATGGATGGGAGACCTAAGGCAATCGACAAAATCAAGTCAAACCCAATGACTAAATTGAATCTATTTTTTCTTTCTAATGCAATTAAGAAGTGTGACAACACATTTTTAATCGTGGAATAAAGCAATAAGGAAAAGTGATGGACAACTAAATGTGCCATCAGATATCACCTAGATGAACTTCGAAATCGGATTTCTCCAAACCATACCAAAGTTGAAGTTCATCTCTAATACGCCGGTGATTACCGTGAATAGACTTATTATGAGACATCCAATGGTCATCATACACTATGTGTTTGACAACTGTCTCGTCTTCTTTGGCTCGATTTTGCTCATAGCCCCTGGTCTTTCATCAAGGAGTTGGCTCCAACTTCCAAAAACCAAATCACAGAAAGCATAACATTTATGCCATCAATAAAGAAGAAATACAGACAACATGTACGTAATTAATGAGTTGTTGATCACTTCATATCTTAGAAATGTGATGTGAACTCCGTTTTATGCGCTTAATGAAGTCATCCACTATAATTCCTAATTTCTTAGTTTTTGGAAAGAGGGCAGTGCATAATGAACGAGCACCCAAAAGGTTGGCAGTGCCAAATGGATAGTGGAGTTTACGTTTGTTAAAGATTTGTCTCGTCGACATTTAGCACCCTATCAAGTTGATAGGTGACCTATAAGCATGCAAATTAATCCATATATCAATTTGATGTTAGTAGCATATACAACCACACACCATTATTAGTTGAGTTAAGATAATCTAGCAAAAAAAACATTTGAATTCACCAATCATAAAATGAAGAGGGGTTGATTACATAATGTGATTAGTTGATGAGATCAAAATATCTATCTATCTATCTATCTATCTATCTATCTATCTATCTTCTATCTATCTATACATAATATTATGGCAATTCAAAATTAAAAGTTTGCCACATAAGCACTTGGAGAACTCACAAGTTGCCAAGGTGGACAATTCTCTTACTAACAAAAAATTAGTTATTGATCTATTTATGAAGTTATCTCTCTCTTCATTTAATATTTTCTTTTCTTTTATCCAATAATTCTTCTTTTTTGTGCTTTTGCATTATACTAATGTATTGTAGTAGACTAATATTTGGAGAGTGACATATATGATATATCACATTTGTTTAAACCCAAAAATACATTATTAGACCTTAATAATTAAGTTTTTTACTCTTTTTTCTAAAACTAAATAACAAGTTACATTTCTATGAGCAATTTAAATGAATACACATAAATAATATCCTTTTTGTCAATTAAACTAAATATAAAAGTGAAAATAGAGAGTGACAGATATCACAATTTTCAAACTAAAAATATCTACTTAAATCTTATCGAGTAAATTTTCTACTCATTTTCTACATTTTGATGAAAAAATTAAACGAACACACATATATAATAATATTTTGTGTTCATCGATGATAATAATAATAATAATTTTTTGATTAAAAAAATAATGATATACCAAAAAATAATATGTGCAACATATATTATGAATCACATTTGCAACAATTTATAATGTATCCTAAATTCACATCATATATTATTGCTCTAGATCATGTTCATTGAGCAAGCTCTATGGAGGTCTTACATTCTATGCTAATATTTTATTTTCAGACCTGGAGTTATTAATTATCGAGGATCATAAATCAAAATTTTAAAAATGGCTTAAGTATGATTGTTGACAAACTTTGACTTCATTTTCTAGGATGAGAATGACATGTGTGAAGGTTAGAGAAATCTTTGTTGAGGATGTACGTGAAGCTTCACGTTTTGCTAATCTCTTACCTTGCAATAATTAAATAAGGGTTGAAATTTTTTGTTTAAAATATCTTGGTAAATAAATAGAAATTCGAAAATTGAGGCAATAAATAAACATCAGTATGTTAGTTGAGATATATAGTTACAAGAGCCTAAATCGAGGTATTTGGTTAATATAAAGGATCTTTAACAACGACGAGTTTAGTAAGACAATTTGTAAGAACTCATTTGGTTATATGGTTGTAAGCCTGACTCCATATAACTTTTGGCAGTAATAAAACATTTTTCGATATCAAAGTTTCAAAATGAAAATATTTTAGTTTGTAAGAGCAAGCAAATTGTATTCACATCGAGTTACCCTAGCCATAAACTTTTGTTTTTCATATTAAACCAAAGAGTTGAGTTCGAAGGTATTGATTAGTGTTAAAAGTAAATTAAACTATATATATGGCAAAGGTTAGGGAATGCCTACCCCCGTCGAGTATTGATATTTAGACAATGTATTAACCTGAGTTTGGGGCATGATACTATATACCCTAACCCCTAATGCGTGAACCCCAGTCTCTAATTCATTAACCTAAAGCATAATATTAATTTAATCTTGAAATGAAAATCAAAGATTCTTATCCATCGAAATTATCGTTGATTTTCATCTTCGGCTAATTCAAATGTGTCTATAATACATCCAAGAATTCAAATGCATGTGAAATGTTACAATGTTATTAGGAAATTTTGTAAACCTTTTTTAAAAAAATGATAAATTAAGTGTTCAAGCAAAACATTATTTTAAAATACACTTGAATATGTGTGCGTTGTAGACACACTTTATTAATTATTAATGTTAGTAATACATTTTTTGTTCCATAACAAACACTAAGGACAATTTTTTTAGCAAATGCACATTTAAAAAGTTGAAAAATTATACACTAAAGGACAATGTTAAGATGAGAATCCTCAATAGTGTATGTGAGTGTCTTCGGTTGAGATTATAAAACAATATTTAGACAACCATGGATTGAGAGTTAGTCCAATTTTCAAAAGTAGCAATTGATATATATTGTATAAGATACTAAATTTGAGTATCTTGATAAACAAATTTTATCATAAGATCCTATACTAAGACTTCATGAACATCCACAATGAACATGAGTAAAGATTGAAGCATTTGATCTTCATAAGGTATACGATTCGTGTAATTTCCATCATGATAAACATAATTTATCGTGTAATCAAATATCTTTATCCAATCATCAGAACTCTCATTAATTGGTTGAGAGTCTGTCCATACTCTAGAATCACATGCTGATATAGGTTATATAAGATAATAAATTTGAGTATCTTGATTGAAAAATATAAATATATTATTGATCCTAAATGGGACGTGACAAACCTTCACGATATGATTTATGGTTAGAGAATCAAAACATCATAAGTAAGTGTGTTAATTATTAAGTATTAAGAATTTTCAATATAGGCATACCATTAACTTATGAAAGCGAGAAAATAAAATACTTATAAAATCCAAATAAATTATACATATAGATAAATTATTTAATATAAATAATAAAATGTAATTCTCCGGCCAAAGGGCCGGGTAAAATATTTGTTGTATGTAAGAACTTGTGGCATCTTTGCGAGGTCTCTTGTATTATTGTTCATAGAAAAATTGGTGTTTACGATATTAGCCTTGAAAATCTTTAATTAAGATATGTCCCTTTTTCATTCAAGAAAATGAGTTATTTTATATCATAACCCTCGTAATTACAAAAGGAGTAATCAACAAACAATCTATTAATTTTTTTCTATGAGAGGACGAGTTATTGATTTAGTTTTCTTTGTTTTGTTCATAACTTATACACGTGTATCTTATTACAAATCTTTAACTTTTTGCCACTAGTACCTCCTGCCTACCGTCCAAAAGTGCACCAACTTCATCCACAAATCAAATCACAGAACATTATCGTCAGTAAATAAGGAATTAAAATAGCATACACGTAAGTAATGAATTGACAATGACTCTGTATT